GCAGTCCAACACAAAAGCACCCCAAACTGCAGCTGCAAAAATGAACCTAAAACTGACACTGTAAATGTATGAATGTTTGCATATGGATGTGTAGATTACTGTGGGCTTGTGCGTGTCTGCGTGGAAAAAACTGGAGAAAAACAACAAAATCAGTTTTTGTTTTTTAGTCAGCACATTATCTGTTGATATGAGCATGTGCTTAAAAAACATGAACACTTAATACTGTTACTGTGCGTGTGTCTGTCGATTACAAGTTGCCAAATCACTGGGAGGGTCTCAACAACTGCTGCTCTTCCACACAAATGACCTCCCTGTTAAGAGGAAGATGTTGCAAAAGCGCTGGACACACACACACACACACACACACACACACACACACACACACACACACACACACACACACACACACACACACACACACACACACACACACAGAAACATGTCGCAAAGCTAACTGATCCTGATCAGTTTCCTCTTCCTGTGCTCAGTAAAGATGGTCGACTACTAGAGCAGATGGAGAGATAAATGGAAGACAAACTGATACAAAAATCAAGCAAAAACTCAGAGAGATTAAGCAAAAAAAGAAAACCCCCCCCCCGAAAAAAATAAAGACATTCAGGTCTGTAGAAGCAGTGAGAAATAAACAGACAAGAGGAGGACATGAGTGAGAGATGTGTCACCTTCCTCACAAATCAGCTTAACTGCATGGTAGCGATAGAGGGAGGGGAGGAGACTGTTTTTACTGTAACTGCAATCCATAAATTATATCAGAACTTCAGAATAACTTCAGGGCAGGACTTGACTTGCGGTCCAGCTGACCGGTGCACAACCCGTCACTGCTGTTGTGTCGAAAAAAAGTCAGGAACTATACACACAACTGTGTTAGTGCAAAAAACGATGACAGACACGAGGTTAAACTAACTGATAACTTCTTTATAGCAGAAAGATGGATGCTGGTGCTTGAGGGAGAATTGAAGGTAGAAGAGATAAAAGTTTGGTCCGAAAGTAAGATGTTCAAAACACCAACAATCTGATGTGTCATATGTCCTTCCTGCAACAATAATAATGTTTGTGTTTGAAACATTAACAGAACAAAAGTGATTTTATTTTTCCAAAAGGGATGGTACGCTGCCTTTTGGAATAAAAGCCTCCATTTGCTGCTGGAGTTCCCCTTTGAACAGCACACATGAAAGGGGTCACTTTCAGCAACAATAACTCCCTTCGCTTATGTTTGGGTGTTTATTCTCACTTTCCCTGAAGTGTTGTCTCACTGTACCTATTTATGATAACCGCCCGCTCAATGTGTATAGAAACAATTGCACTGTTACTAGAAGAGCTGAATCATGATCACTCCTTCAGCCTGTAGCTTTTTCTCAAGCCTGTTTTTTTTTTTCTTTCTCTGTCTTCTGACTCTTTACAAGAAAAAGAATAGTCACGGCCACCTGCTGATTGGTTAACGCTGGGTGGCGTGGGATGCGAGGCTGGTGGTCGAGAGCGAGGGAGGGCTGTCAAATGCTACAGAAACTCATGACTGAAAAGAGGAAATGGCAGATACAGAACTTCCTCTATTGACACAGATCGAGTAGGGGCAAGACTCAACTGTAGTAGCAGCAGACTGGATTACGGACACCGTGTAATCACCCCTGTGCCATTATTGCCTCAATGTGGAGAAGCAACCGCCATATATGGTGAAAACGTTGCATTTGTACAGAGGTCAAAGGGCTATGGTCATGGTTTACGCGCAGTTTTGAATAAAGGGGGACTTTCAATCATTAAACTAATAAGTTACAGCAGTGAAACAAGCGGTGTGACTTCATCAAAGTCAACATATTCTTTGCCCCATTTCTTGCACTGGGTGGCAAAACAATCTGATTGCAGAGGCGTAATTTCTCCTTGTACTTTCATGAACAAAACTCAAAATAAGATTAGGGAATCGAGATATTTTCTCTGAATTATTTTTGCAGCGGGGCAAAGTCGATAAAATCCCTGAGAAAAAAGGCAGGACACCTTCAAATATTAGGACCAGAAGAGAAAAACCTTTACTTCTTTCATCTCCCATTCTCCCTCCCCCATCCTGTCTCTCTCTCCCCACCTTCCTCCCACTCAGTTGCGCACATCGTTTGCATGAAACTGAAAGACCCATGTATGAAAAGGGGGAATTTATATGGGCTCACATGCCCCAATTAGAGCATTTCCTGGAACTGTGTGCATGCATGTATATATATGTGTTGGCGTGTGTTTTCCTCGCCTGACAGACCACTCGAGTTCACTTCCCCCTACCCACCACTTCACGGACACATGGTTGTCACCAGTCATACTCCAGCAAAGCCAAGGTCACATGATCTGTCACACCAACTTGCCCACCACAAACACAGGCACACACACATCGAAGTCACAGAAAAATTCACGCTCAACTCAAATGAAATACGAGTGTTAATAACTATATGTAACATATAATCCTTTTTCATGCTCAAACACGATACTCTATCATTCATATAATTTGTGTATTTTAAAATACAGGTTAGCAGGGAAGACGGTTCTCTGTTGCCTCTAAAGACAATCAGCAGTAATCAGGAAGGGGTTTGTAGTTGTTTTACAGCTGAAATCAACCACTTTTTAATGAATGTATCATGTTTAAATTAATCTGTATGCTGGAGTGTGTTAATAAAACTAAAACAATGGATAAATTGGGGTCAGAGATGCTCTTTATACTACTCTACAAACTACTTCATCACATTAAACAATATATACACATTCACATTTTAGACTTCAATTATCTAGATATATATAAGTGGGTTGTATAAGGTTTTTATTTTAGGGTACAGTAAGATTATGATAATTTAAAGGAAGGATATCAAAAATATGTATTCCTTGTTTGCTTTGTAGTTTTTTGCTGTGTAGTTCTGTTTTAATCCTGAAACCTGGAGATAAATGAACTTTTTTAAGCCACAGACTCTTGAATGAACAATAATTTGAATGGTATTTATAGCCTGAAAACGGTCTGTGCATGAGAATACTACAGTAATATTCTTTATTAATTATTTATGAGGTAAAACAAACCAATACATTTGCTGTTTGTAACTATTTAAGCTGTTGTGTTGCCTCATAAATTACAAAAAGTACTAATAAAGTACACAAAATAGGCTAAAGTATAAGTTACGTGAATATTTTTACAGTTTAATATCTGTAACATCCACTGTAGATTTACAAATTCAGATTTTTATCCAGTTGTATTTTAAATGCAGGTTTTTAAGATAGCTAGCACAACATTAGCCTCAAGCTAAAGAGGCTGTTAATGTTTCTGCCATTAGAGCAATATGTCCAGTTGTTGTTTAGCCTACTGTTAAACTAATACCAATAAGACTTTAAAGCTTCTCAGAAGCAGTGCTGCTTTGTTGTGCTCATATACCAAAAACCTATAAATATCATAAACCTGTTTTAAACATTAGAGTTTATTTTTGGCATCATTCCTGGGCCATCTTTAATAGCTGATTGCAATTATAGAGCAAATGTAGCCAGCAAACTACAGAGGAGTTAACTTCCAGGTTGTCCATAAAATATTTAACTGCTTGACGATTTTATTCAGCTCGTATTTTTCCGAGGCCATCCTATAAAGCACAACAGTGTTCAATGAGTTCTGACCCCCACAGCAATGTGTTTGTGGTGTAAACTGTGATAGTGGAGCAAAATATGTGTGACAGAGCGAAAGAAACGGATACAGATTTGGCCGTTCTGGATGATTTGTATCAGTAAATTAGTCAGGCTCTTTTCTGAGTAACATCTTGTAGTTTATTTACTGAGATACAGGATGGGCTGAACTCAATAAACTCGAATGAATTCAGTCCATTTTGAATCATTTAGGAATTGATTTAACTTGTTTTGATCTGTAACAATGTGTGCGTGCAGCTCGGTGTGAGAGGGGGGATGAAGGTAGGTTTTCTGTCGTTTTAAAGCTGAAATCTGTAGTAATATTTATGAATATATTGCTTTTTAATTCATCTGTATGGTGGAGTATGTTAAAACACTGAAAACAGTGCTTTAAAATGCCTGTTATTCTGTATAAATATTGATTAGGTTTGTTTGATGATGCTGAAAACACCAGTGACGTCTAACTTCATCTCTTCAGTAAGATTATTTTCACATTATCCAGCTGATCAGTGACATTTTTACTGCACACCGGCAGCAACAACAAGCTGAAACAACTTCACAAATATGACACTTAATACTCTGTTATCTTTGCTGTAGTTTGAACGTGCAGACAGTTAAGGGTTTCTGCTTGTTCACAGATTCCTGATTTATCTTTGTGCCTTCAGGAGGTGCTAATTAACATAAATGTAACGTAAACCTTAAAGATGACATTTTTTGTTGTTGTTGTGAGGAAGCAGATCACCAGCAAGGTTGCCAACTAGAACCAAACCAGTGATGGATGTGGTGTGAGCTGTAATCCCTCGGCTATCAGTATAAGTATATTTGAAGGTTAAAGAAACATTTTGTGACCAATCATCTCCACGCAGTCACACTGCATTTGTTTGTTTAAATGGAAACTGTTTCCCAAAGGTATCTTAAAGATGTACATAATTCAAACAAAAAGCACTTGTTTGTTCTAAGCAAGCTTTTGGGTGTTAAGGGATCTGCATCCAAGAGTTATTGTAGCTTCCTGAAACATACAATCCTACAATCTACCTCCTTCATGCAGCCACTGGCCGGCTGCAGAGGTGACAAAGTAGGAAGGATTTGAACTTCTATCTTAAGCTCTTTTATTATTCTTCACACAGTCACATGGTATTAACACCTTTGCCTTTATACGTCTTTGTACGACACTTTGTACCAACTACTTCTTTTGAAGGATACTGAACCAGTAAGATCTAATCTACATCTAAGATCTTTTGAGAAAGCAGGGAGCTTACCAAAATGGCTGACAGCATAAATAAAAGTGTTTGAAAGAGACAGGGACTGATGCTAATATATTGTACACGCAGTAATATATGGCAGAGTCCTACCTCCAGTCCATAAACCCAGGAGAAGATGGTGCCTGCTTTCTTCTGCCTCTCGCTCGTCCCCCCCCTCCTCTTTTGGTTCTTTGCTCAGAGGTCAGCAGAGGTCACACACCTGAGGGGAAAAAGGCACAGAACCTGATTTAATTTGAGCATTATTCAGCCCAGAGGGGGGCTATGAGTCAGGTATTCACCAAGTATGCGAACAAAGATGTGGGACGTGATGATCTGATAAAGAAAACACAAAGTGCTGACTAATTGAGGCACATGTTCTTTTCTCTTTTGTAAAATAGGCTAGCTATAGTGCATGTGGATAAACACCCTCCCACCCTCCCACCCTCCCACCCACACAAACACACACACATACACACACAGAGAGAGACACAGACAGGCAATCACATGATGCATCAGATGTAATTTGGGGTGGAGTGGGGGTTCTTGTAAGAGACTGATAGAAACCAACCGCTTCCTACTTTGACTTCTTCGGAATAGAAGTGCTCCAACAGTCAGTAATGTTTGGGAAAGCCCACATACACACTCACACACAGACACACACACACATGTCTTTGTGATGAATACAGTATACTGTACAGAAGTGATCGCATGTGTGAAAGCATTTTCATGATTTTCACAGCCCTCTAAGAAACATTCAAGAAATGTAGGCGAGGAGGAGGATGATGGTGTTTTGTCAGAGCTGCAGATTCAGACTAAAACATACGAAGATGATGATGATGAAGTGTCAGGCAGAAATATATCAGCTATAAGAGGAGGGCCTGTAGAAACAGAGCAGGATGTGGGTCATGTCAGGGCGGCGGGAACGAGGGATGAAGCACAGATGTCTAATTATGCTGCAGACAAAGTCAGAGCAAACAGAGCTGGCATTAAGAATTTATTTCAAAACCCCTGATGGCTCTTCCATGTGCGGGGGAAACCATCACAGCACCACGTCCACTCAACATGATGGCACACTAACTTTCACAAACAGAGGCCAGTATAGACGACTACGCCAACCTCCAACTCGGGCCCCTCAGACACCCAGAGGGGGGTTGTGAGCCAAAAAAGCTGCGACAACACCTGAGCCTAGAGGGTATAAGGCATTAACTAACTGCATGGACGGCTAAAGATTTAACCAAACAAGCTGTGCCCAAGACAGGGAAACCAAACCCAAGCCAGTTGAGCTTGTTAGGCCGGTCTGTCAGAGGGGCGAGTCAGCAACACATCTACCTCTGTAATGACACACACACACACACACATACACAAAAAGCCCACTGGCATGACAGCCCTCCCCACACCCATGAGGTAGGCAGAAGCCTTAACCTAACATTACAGCCTGAGCGCATCCTATTGTAACATGGGGATAGTGACGGGATTAACACAAAACACTGGGTGCGCCACGAGGAGGATGATGATGATGATGATGATGATGATAATGATGATGATGATGATGATTAACAGACCACTGGAAGGGGGGAGGGGGGGGCGGTCATTTAGGTGCAAGAAGGCTAAATCCAATAGATCCACTGCTCTGCGTGCCCAGCAGAGAGGCAGGTGATGTGCGTGAGAGCAGGTTAGGTTTTGGATGTCAGCCGGTGTTCTCGGCTATAATTAGCAGCCGAGTCTCCAGAAATGTACCCGCCGACCCCGCTCTCTCTCCCTCTCTCTCTCTCTCTCTCCCTCTCTCACCTGGCAGACCGCCGTGCACAGACGCACATATCAAACAGCGGCTGCAGCACCTGCTCCGCTAAACGCACCACCGCGCAGCTTTAAGTTCACCTTGCATGCGTTTAAAAAATAAATAAAAGCGAAGCCGAAACGCACTCTGGATGTATTATAAAGGGGGGGTGGGGGTGAGGGTGGAGGGAGGGGGGGGGGGGATAAATGTCGACGGGAGTTACCGAATACCTGTGACGTGGATTGTCCTCCCGTGACCCCGATCAGAACCGGGAGGGAGGGAGGGAGGGAAAAGGAGGAGGGAGGGTTAGGCTATAGGTTGAAGCAAGCCGGTGCTGTCATAGCAAAGCAGACATGTCACTTAAATCACATTTAACTTACAGGTGTGTTAGTTTTCAGTCAAATCTGCAGCCGTCAGGTGAAGCGGCTACCTGAGTGCCGGTGTGTCACCTGTTTAGACTCGTCGCCTCCCACCTGACCGGCCTCCACACTTCCTGGATTATTCCGTCCCACCCTGCCTACTTCTTCTACTTCTTATTCTTCTTCTCTTTTTTTTATACTCCCAGCGCTTGTCTTTTCTTCTCCGCTGGAGGGGGGTGGTGTAGGGGGGGTCTCCGCTCCGGCCGTCCTCAGCTCGACACCCGGGAGCTTTTTATTTTTCGCCAAATCGTGCCTCGGCGTTTTTTTCTTCTTGGTCTCTCTCTCTCTCTCTCTCTCTCTCTCTCTCTCTCTCTCTCTCTCTCTCTCTCTCTCTGCAGACCGCCGGCTCTCTGGGCTGCTCTGACCCCCCTGCTGTCTGCTGCCTCCGCTGGCCCACTCCGACTCTCCCTGCTCCTTCTTTCTGAGAACCAGGAAGCGGCTTGCCCTACTTACACCCAGTCGCGGATTGGCTCTGGCAGGGCTGGAGAAGAGACCGCCGGGGTGGGCAGGGCACAGGGGGAGGGAGGGAGGGAGGCAGGGAGGGAGGGAGGGGGGTGTGGGGGGGTCCGGCTCTGGTGCGATAGGCCAACAGCGGTGTCTGTCCCGATGCCGGTGGCAGAGGGAGGTGGCAAGAGTTTGGAGACCCCCCGCTCCTCCCTCGCCTCCCTCCCTCTCTCCTTTTGGGCATCACCGCGCATAGGTGGGTTGAGTACAGAGGGCAGCGAGAGCGGATTGAAGGAATATCTGCTTATTGCTTACCTATCGGATGCAAACGCATTTTCGGTCGAAATAGACTTAGTAGGCCCCCCTCCCCCCCCTCCGCCTCTTTCCTCATGACTCAGCAATATTCCCATCTGGAGGTTGACCACGGATGGAGAGGTGGAAGTGAGCCAGCGCCAGGACTCCAGACAGGTGCCTGTCAGGAAGGCTGTCAGATGAATAAACGGAACTTGTTGTGATCAAAATGAAACCGTGCAGAGGATGTGTAACATCCAGTGTGAGGGCAGCAGCGGGGTAACACCAGGGACTTTTAAAATGACTTTTAGTGAATCGGTGAGTCAATATAGACAAGAAACATAAAGTCTGCAGAAGTGCAAAACACAGTAGCCTGTATGTGAACATTTTTTTCCAGAGAGAGAGAGAGAGAAAAGTGAAGTCTATCTTTCATGACAGAAGCACAGACGCTAAACAAAAGCTTCATTTCACTACAAAAACACTTTCACGTATGCGTCCTGTTTGAAGTGGTTATGAGTATGGGAATCACCTCGCTTTTTTCTAAGTTTGAATCTCATCCTCGTCTGCTGAAGCTCCAGGAGTGTGAGCTGGTGGGTTTAGAAGTGAGGGTGCAGGAAGTCTATATATATTTTTTTGCGGTGAGCTCAGCCTGCCCACCCATTACCACCCCCCTCTAACCTTAAATCTGTGCCTGCTCTGCGGTTGTGCTACCAGTCAAAGAAGTAAAACTACATCTGCACCAGATGTTCCATAAATGCAACTGATTTTAGTTAGTTTGTTGTAAAGCAGTGGTTCCCAACATGGAAGTTGAGACCCTCCAGGTGGTCGCAAGATACATTACGCAGCTGTTTCACAATATGTTTTTTTTTACTCCTTGTCTTTTATTGTGAAATTCTGGAAACCTTTTATAAACGTTTCATATGAAATAATCTGAAAAGGCAACATCGCTCTTTAATTGAACTGATGCACAATAAGCAACCTGTGGCCAGTGGTGGATTTTAAAGGCTACTTATACTTACTTACTACAACTCCACTACATGTTGGATCCCGAGGGGAGGCATAAACAGTGCCTGGCCACCTCAGCTGCTGCCCCAGTTTGGTGTCAAATTTAACACATTGTTTTAAGATTTTAAAAATAACGTGTAAAAAAAAATGGAAATGAATTCAATGAACATTTTAGATAAAGTGATAAACTTAAAAGATATTTATTTGGAAAAATGTCTGAAGATTTGGAAATACAACAATTTATTTCTATTCTCTAGTTTAAATGTATTTATTTGGGAGATTTTCAAAGGAAATATTGATTATATGTAATTGTTTCTCTGCTCACCCACATTTATTTAGTGCACACAGATTTAGTCATTAGTTACTTTACAACTAATAAATGATGGTGTATTATTATGGATTAAATTACCCATTAGTATATAAAGTAAATTACCTCCGCTGTTACCAGCTCCAACATTAAAGTGATGAACATATTAATGCACCAATCATAACAATCCAGTAATATATCATTGTCAAATGGGCCATTTTACAGAATGAATACTTTTAGTTTTGGTAGCCTACATTAATAATATTTATATATTTTAAATATGAGAGTTTTACTTGTGACAGTATTTCTACAGTACACTGTGTTATTGCTACTTTTATGATCTGAGTACTTCTTTCACCAGCATTTCACAGCTTTAAAGGTCAGAAACCACCGTTTGTGTTTGAAAGCATCAGAAGAACTTGCAGAGAGACTCTTCAGTCTGTTTGTGGATGAATGAATTGAGGATTGTATGACTTTAGTAATTACATTTGCAGAACAAATACACACTGACTGTTGCTATTACTATTTAATGCAACACTGCTGTGTGATGAATTATAAAATACTCATTATTGTGAGTTTTTAGCCCCTGAAACTCCCAGTGTAGTTTGTTTCCAGCGAGTAAAGACTTTCCTCTGAATCTATTTCAGAGCCAGAATGACAGGCAGCAATTACAGACCTGTTTATCCCCCCACCTCTATTCATGGCTGGTAATCCAGGCTGGTCTGCCATCATTAACCTTTTCCACTCAGTCTCCTCGCTCCACTGTGGCCTCTCCTCTTCACATTCAGTCTTCCCATAATTTAACCGGCCCTCCTGTTCTCTCATGTGACTGTGGAGATACATACTTAAGCAATATATTTCTAAGATGCTCCTTCCTCCTGCTGTGTTTGTGGGATTAATAAAGTGTTATCGCCATCTAGTGGTCACTATGCAGGCCTGACTGTGTCTGCTTCACTGAGTCCTCCATTACAAAACCCCTCTATTTGTGCACTGTAGAAATGTATAAACATGGTTTGAAATACAGCATACAGCCTATCTTCTCTCCCCTAATTAAATATGTCAGCATAATTCGCAAACAGCAGAGCAAAACCCCTCAAATATTCACAGCTACAAGGCAATCATCCTCTTACTGACACATTTATGCTGCTTTGTGAGACTCAGCGGGGGCTATTCAAACAGTGTGCAAATAATAACAAGTGTATATCCAATATGTTAATGCCCCTTAACTTGTAGAGGTGAACGATAAATCTCTCATTGTCGCCCACATGGGCTGAATGGCTGTTAAAAACCACTTGGACATTAATGAGAGAGGAGAGGTAAAATAAATGTGTGTGAGGGAGGGAAAGTTACAGGAAGAGAAGGCAGGTGTATCAGTGAGACTGTAATCTGCTCTCATGGAGGCGGATATTCATTGAGTTCCAGGCAAGAGGAGAAGAGATTTAAGTGTCCCCACATTCACAAGCTTAACCTTGGATGTGAGTGTGTCTGCCCTCTGCTGAGAGGTACAGGATTAGGGTTGGGGATCCAGGAGCAGCAGCAGCAAAGCCAGGACCGGGAGGCTGAAGCAGAGCAGAACAGTTCTTAACCATTCAACTCGTCGCTCACACGAGAAGTTATTTTAACACACAACAGTGTTGAAGTTGAGTCACCAAACCTCTCGAGTCCCAGATCCACAGAAAGCACGACTCACAGTCACTGCGGCCATGTCCAAGTCCAAGTCCAAGTCCAGTCTCAAGTGGTGCTCTGAATCCTGGTATCCAAAGTAAAATTAAACAATTTAAAGGATAATTTCACTCAAATTACAGAAACAACTAATCCTTACTCAAATTGCAGTAGTGGAAAGTAAACAATTAGTCAAATACTTACTACATAATACTACATAAGGAGAATTCTGAAGTATTTTTATTTTCAATATGTTGTAGTTTTTACTCCCTACGTGTATTTGACAGCTATAGTTACTTTTAAAGGTCCAGTGTGTAACATTTAGGAGGATCTATTGGCAGAAATTAAATATAATATTCATAGGTATGTTTTCGTTAGTGGATAATCACTTGAATATAGGAATCATTGTGTCCTTGTTACCTCAGGATGAGACGTTTTATCTACAGATGCTGCAGATCGCCTTCCATAGAGTCCACCACGTTGAACCACCATGTTTCTACAGTAGCCCAGAATGGACAAACCAAAACTGCAAGTTTTGCTGCCACCATAGTTTCTCCTACACACTTCACATCCAGTTCTCACTCCCAGGTCATCAAATACAGATGTGAAAGGTGTTCAGTTAGTTGCAATCTGCAACTTCACCACTAGATTTCACAAAATTCTACAAACTGGTCCTTTAAATTCATAGTTTAATTAAATAGAAACATAAAAAAGTAATAATTTGTTGTTTGTTTAAATCTTTTTATGTTTTAAACTTCCCAAAGAGATCCTATTCCATCCATTCAGATTAATTTACCTTTATCACCTATCTGTCTTTTTTTTTTTTTACTTCTGACCCCTTATAATAAAGGAGTGTCTAATTGGGTTCCCTTGTCACATTTTAGAAAGTACTAATCAAGGCCTATAAAGAGGTAACATGAACCAGTTTTCACAAAGAAAAGTGAACAAAACTCATACAAATATGTGTAACAGTAGTTCTTTAAGGATCTTAATACAACTTCCACCGCTCTATGGTGGTTCTGTGGTTCTCTCCAAATTTTTCTTTCTGTCAATTAATGTACATTAATGTTGGAAAAATAACATTCACGTAAAGTATAATTGAACAGTTAAGAGAATAGATTAAACATAAAAAGTCTAAAAGACCATGTTTTTGGTTTTAGGTCAAAACTTTCTAAAGGTGGTTGGGAATGCTTTGATTTTTAAAATCCTGGTTACGGCATTGAAAAATTACATCTAAATGATTCAACAGCAAAATGTCTCTACAACAACAAACCTGACTGTAAACAGTTCATTTTTACTGAAGAAACAGTCCTGATGAAAACTGTTGAAAGTGAGAGACACTATAAGTTGAGAAACCCCAAATTTCTTAATTTATTTACATTGTCAGTTTGTTTAGTGGTTATAGTGGTGTTTGGGGGATGGCTAGTTATGGTGTTAAATCTCCAGAAAAATGTAAAGGCTTCTGAAATCAAACAGTTTCAAACTAAAGTAAAAGAAACTCAATTTATAAATAAATGATCAAAGTCATCAACATCCAAGTTTGAGTTGAATTAACAGAAACAGAAACACACATACACGGCACGCAAATGAGCTCATGCCTCAACACACTCAACAAGATGATATCTAAATCCGCTTTATTCTTACATCCAGATATACACCATCATCATAATCACCATCGTCACCATCATGGTTGTCAATAATCATCATTATCTTCCACACCACGCTCAGAATCTTCATTGTGACAGCATAATTAGCTATTTTTTTTCCTGTTTAAAAGCTAAAGCTGTGATAAATAAAAAATAAAACATTTGGTCCTTTAATATATAGTCTAGGCAACATGGTATCAGGGGTTAAGACAGAAATGTCTTGTTGCTACCCACACAAAACATCAAACATCACTGGAAATGGTGCTGAAACAATGTCGTAGGGCAACAGAAGGAGGAGCAAACTGAACATGAGGCTGATGGCAGCAGAGAGCAAAGTGTCGGGCAAACCGAGAGATAGGGAGAGAGTCTGTGAGCGTCACAGAAACAGTTAGCGACCAGAGCTGTGAAATCAGATGAAAGGCAGCGAGACAGACAACAGATGAAAGACTCAGAGGCTGAGGAGCGAGGAAGCGTACAACAGACCCACAGAGAGGCACGTATTCACAGTACAGGGAGCCGGGCGGAACAAAATCAAGTCAGCACAGCAGAGCAGAGCAGGATTGTTTGTCACACAAAAAACACAATTTACAGAAGTCGTCAGAGTGAACATGTAGGTTAAAAAGTTTTGTCTTTGTTTAAAAACTAAACACCACACACCTGGGACAACAAAACTACCAGTGGACTGCTCCTAATTATTCAAATTCATATGAGTATCGACTTTACAGTGATTTTTAAACTCTATATCCTTATAATTATTATTATTCAGATGAGAAAATATTACACTTTGGTGCAGAATGGGAAGCAAGAGGGGGTTGGAGCTGGAAACCAGGAAGTGTCTGTACTATTGCCTGCATTTAAAACTGACATCACAGTAGACTTACTTCCCAACATCAGGAAGATTATTATTTTGTCACATTTATTATTATTGTCAAGGTCATTTCCTGTCACATTAGGAGAGTCTTCAATGTTTCACATGTATTGCTGTTTCCATTGTCAAGAAAATGGAGACTTTTCACATATACTACCTTTTTTTTCTGACTCTCAGCTATTGCTTCCATCCCATTTTACTGTTTCCACTTCAGCTCCCCTGCTTGCTCCAACAAACACTAACACAGATATGTATGTATACATTTGGATGGTTTTTCTTTTACTCAAACCATTGCCTGCACCTACAACTCAACAGGCCCATAAAGAGTCTGTATCCTCCATCAGTGGCTTGGTTGAGAGTCACATGAACACCTGATGTTCTAAGACAATCACATCCTAGAATGAATGCAAACAAGATGTACCTGTCCACATGAGATCAATGGACGTCTGGTGCCAACTCTGACACAACTCTGTATATCCATGGCTCCGCTAATCAGTAACGGCTACAAGTCCTTTAAGATTTTCTTCTTGATCTTTTTTACATGTTGGCGGGCAGTTTGTGTCTTAGTCCCTCTGAGTCTTTTCTGGCCAGTGGCAGCTGAGGGTCCTTTTTCCCAACTTTAGGGGAGGTGGTGTTGGCAGGGGTGGCTGCATGTGCTGACTGGGTGGGTGTAGTGGTGGATGCCTGAGAGGTCTGGGCAGGGGTAGAGGTTGTATTGAGTTTTGATGAGTGGGCAGGGGCAGCTGTGGTGGATGGCATTTGTTTTGGGGGATGAGCAGAGGCAGACTGGATACTAGGAGAGGTGATGGTAGAGGAAGGGGTCGTAGTCAGAGAGGAGGGGTTAGTGGAGCTCTTCAACGTTGTTGAGGATGGGGTTGTTTTGGTGGAATGACCGGAGCCTGAAGTGGGGCTTTGAGTTACAACAAGAGGGGTTTGCTTCACAGGATGAACTGAGAAAGTTACTTTAGTTGTAAAGCTAGTGCTAGCTGGGGTGGGGGATGCAGTTTGAGTTGGGGTTAGAGGTGAGGCCTGTTTTGGGATCTGGCTCGAGGTAGGGCCTTTGGCTGAGCTGGAGACAGAAGGCATTGGACTCTGGGACTTACTACAGGAGGGGACAGGTGTAACAGGGATGGGAGAGGGGGAAGGTGAAGGAGTAAAGGTCTGAGTAGGAGTAACAGGTGTAAGTGCAGGCGTTTGGGAGGGGGTAGAAGTGCGGGTGCGGGTAGTCTGAGTGGGAGTCGGTATTGTAGAGGGGATTGAGGTTGGTGCAGGACTGGGGCCAGACAGTGGAGAGGCAGAGGGAGGTGTGTTGGATGCCTTGGCTCGGGGGCTCTGGGGATGCGGTGGTAAAGAGGTTACCAAGGAGGAAGGGGGAGAAGAGGAGGTGAGAGATGACTTGTGCCCATAAGTTTGAGGTAGGGGAACAGGGGCAGAAACAGAAGATGGAGGCGGTGTGGAGGAGGGAGAGGGAGATGATGAGCGGGGAGAGGGTGTATGGAGCGGTTTGGGACGAGGAGTTGATGAGAGCGACAGCGGGTGTGTTCCCGCTGAAGGAGGGGTGGAGCAAGGAGGAGGAGGAGAGAAGGAACGAGAGGCGGTCATTGGGATTGGTTTAGGACGTGGTGGCTGGGAGAGTATAGGTGTAGGAGATGAGGGGGTGGGTACAGGTGAAGGGGTGGCAGAGGAAAGCGGAGTCAGCTTTGGAGGGGAGGAAGATGGCAAAGAAGCTACAGAAGGCATGTGTGCAGCTGTAGGTGTGGGTACAGACTGTGTGTATGTGGCTGTGGGCTGAATAGGAACTGTGGCCTGTACTTGTGTTTGCACATTAAACGGTATATTTGTCACCAACTGTACTGGAACGTTAGAGGTCAGCATGCCCGCACTGCTTCCCCTGGCTAACTGCCCTGCCAAGAAAGGAGCCGGCAGCAAATTGCCACCAGAGGCCTTGCGGTGGAGAGGCGGGTGTGGCTGCACTCCAGCCCAGGAGCGGTGAGGCAGAGTGGGTTGTGAGGCCGACAGCAGCCTGGCCTCCTGGGTGAGTCTGCCCAGCGCTGGGAGACACTGAGAGCTGCTTCCTCCGTGACGTAACAAAGCTTCTTTTGCTCCCTGCTGGCCCGTGACAGAAGTGTTGCCATCTAACGGGGCACCAGAAGCAGCAGGGGGGTTGGTGGTAGCGACCTTGTGGAGGGGTGGAGTTGGGGTTACAAGTGATCCAGCAATCACAGAGGGATGATCAGCCTGGAGGCGGAGGCTGTAATGAAGAGTCCTTCCTTGTTGGATGGAAGTCGGGACAGAGGAGGCTTGTGTGGGCGGAGTTTTAGCAATAGGGGGTGATGTCACCCCACCAGGAGGGCCCATGGTTGAGGGAGAGGCAGGAAAACCTCTTGGGGACAAACCACCCATCCCTCCCATCGTCATCATTCCGATGAGTGAGCTCACAGAGGGGCGGAGGGGCTGTAACACAGGAGCACGAGGAGGAGACAGAGGGAAAGAGGAGGAGGGAGAGGGAGAGACAAGAGGGGAGGGCAGGAAGAAAGTACCACCAAGTGCATGCTGCTGCAAGTGCTGGAGCTGCTGCTGTTGTTGCTGCTGCTGGTGCATGAGGGCGATGGCTACATTACTGGTGGCAGCTGCAGTTTGCAGGGGGGCATGGACCAGTGGTGCCCAGATGACCGGGCGTGGCCGAGGAGACACTGTGCCACTTCCTCCCATGACTCCGCCTCTTCCTGCAGCAGCAGCTGCAATGGCTTCTTGCATGGCCGGCATGCTGTCGTGTTTGACAATCTGCTGCACCAGCATGCTGTCACAGGAACCCAGACTGCCTGCTGCCAAGCCTCCTCCGGCTCCTGGACCTCCACCCCGACCTCCACCACGACCCATACTGCCCCCCAGAGAACCACCCTGGGATGACTTACGCAGGAGCATGGAGTTTTTCCTGCCTGTAGAGGAAAATATAAAGCGACAAAATCTGAGATATTAAATACCAGAAAGGAAAGGCGTAAATGAGTAAAAAACCTGTACTTTGTGGAAGGCTAAGTTGTCTGCTCAACACATAGCAGACATCTGAGGTTTTAGCCTCAAGGTTTTTCTGTTCTTTACTGAGAACACTGCTCATCCTTTATTATTTCAGCTTTTACTTGTTTTCGCAGATGAGTTCTGACCTTTCAGCTAAGGACAAAGTGCCTGAGAAATTTAGAAGAATTTGATGCTACGAATATTTGGCAAGGTCATTGGAGAATTAAAAGCTGGATGGAAAATAGCAAAGCATTGCATAAATAAGATGGTGAAATGTATTCAATCAGAAGATCTACACTTTACCGATACGGTCCAGTCGGTCAACAGCAACAGTTTCAAATGCACGCCGCATCATCGGGTGTTCCTCCAGCACCTCGTTAAAGCTGTCCACACTGAGAGAGTACAGACGACAATATGTATCTGCACGGACACTGGCTGTCCGCCGTCCACGAGTCAACAAACAGATCTCTGAATGTGGGAGGAGAGACAATGGAAGCAGGAGAAAAGAGGAAAGAGACAATAGGCAGTGAGATTAATTAACCCTACTTGTGCACAAACATGTAAGTACTTTCTTTCCCCATACCTTTGTACACAACTCTGCATGTTCTCACCTCCAAAGTAAGACCCATCGCTTAGCTTGGTTTCCTTGTTACCACGGGTCAGCACACTGACTCGTCCATGCTGGATGAAGTACATCTTCCGCCCAACTGTGCCTTCACGGATGATGAAGTCTGAAGGCTGAAACACCTCAAAGCGGAGCTTGATCAGCACAGCAGTCACAAAGTTGGGATCAGCATTGGCAAACAGTGGCATGTTAGCCACCAGGCTGCGACAGTTGAAGCTCACTATCTCCTAGACAAAGAGAAATGAAGAGACAAGGAGAGAAGTGAAGGAAGACAGATTTGCTAGAGGACTGAACATTTGTGTTTTTTTAATTGTAGGCGTGGTGTTTGGGTGTTTATTACCTCTTTGAGTGGCTCGCTGAGTTCTCCCAGGATGTTCTCCTCATCAAACATTTTACCCTGGAAGCGGTGCTCATAGTACTCGTGGATCTTTTGCCGAACATCTGCAGGAAGCTTATGGAACGACATGTACTGCTCCACCTGCTTGTACTGCAATAACACACAAGCACACACATACACTGGTCAGGGGTCTTCAAAACATTCACTTTAAAAGAAAAGAACATAATTAATATTGATAAGGCCTCTGCTTAAAATAAAGCAACTTCTCTGTGTGACCCATGCACCTGAAATCACTCCCTCATTCACTACTCCATATATAGCAGACACTCAATATATAGGCCTATATATATTAAGATTTTAGAAACTTGTGTTTGAATCATTTTGCATCATCACTGGCTGATGTTGCAACGCTGTAAATGGACACAATTTTTTCCTTTCATTATGGGAATTGTTGAGAGAACTACTGAATATAGTATTTTTTTTTTACAATTATTTTGACAGATATTGTGATTGCAATTCATGATTATGTGGAATTTATCATTTTTGAATCACAAATTGAATTTTCACAAAAAAAAACCCAATTAAAATCATGATGATGGGAACATCATCATCATCTGTTACACATTTTACCTTTATCAAAACATTACAGGTATTGCGATTTGCATATTACACTTGGCCATATTGGGATTTTGATAATATTTTTAAAAATTGTGTACTCCTAGTACATGAATATAAATGTGAATATGTTTTACACTCAGAATTAGGACATTCAAAAACAAAATGACAGTGAGGGCACTATCTGCAATAGTAGGTTGCAAACAGTTTGAATAAAATGATTTCCCCATCTCAAACTGTTAGTGGAAATAAATCCAGTATTTCACAAGAAAAAGGAATAATTTGAGAGAGGTCAGGAAAAAAGAAATATATCAAGGTAGGAGAAATGTGTTTTTGTCATTTATAAAGCCAAAATGCCAAACCTTCACTGGTTTTAGCTTCAGAAATATTATTATTTATAATATGTTAATATGATTGGCCAGACAAAACAAGACATTTAAAAATCTCCATTTAAAGGTCTCCATGGGCTCTGGGAAGTTGTGAGAGCATTTTTTACTGACCTTTTATAGACTAAAAGTAAGTTGCAGCCCAAGACAGAAATTGATTGAATAAGTTTAATGGCTAAACTATAAAAAGTATAGCGGGAGAGATGGACGCCTTAACAGATGGATGAGCATCATGTGTCACCTTTTCCTGGTACTGTCGTCGCGAGGAGTCCAATGACTGGATGAGAGCTGTGGCGTGGCCGATGAACATGGCGTAGCAGGTGGCACCTACGATCATACTGAGCATGGTGAGCCACACATCAGTCATCCCTTCTGGAGCCTGGGCACCATACCCGATACACAACATGTGGCTCATGGCTTTGAATAGAGCATAGGAGTACTGAATACCCCATGTGTCATTCTGTGAGTGGGAGACAGACAGAAAGGGTGACAGGAGGAGTAAGGGAAGCTTCAAGAGTAATTAAAAGGCGCTGCAATATTGAACTGTTCTTATTTTAGTCAGGTCACAGGAGCTTTTTCCCCTCAGAGGCACTCAGCCACACCACTAAAGAACATACAGCTAAGATCATAACTTATAACAGCAGAGCAATTTAAGTGTCAAAACCCACTCTGCTTCAAAACAGAGCGGCTCCAGAACCTTTAAAACCACACAGACAACCAAATCACAACATGCATTATTCAATACATTTCGACTACAAATAAAAAAACACACTATGTTAGTGTGTGTGTGTGTGTGTGTGGGGGGCCCTTCTGTTTTAGGTTTTGTGTGTGAGTCCAATTATACTAAGATATTAATGGTCTAACGGATGAGGGGACTTTCTCTGGGGAAAATCCCAGCATCCGCCTCCTTAGCAACAGTCACCCAGGCAACCACTGAGACATGAGTCAGCTATTCATACAGCTGTGTATCTGTGTGCATTCATTTGCGTCCACGTCCGTATGCCTGCGTGCACGTGACGAAATCTCTTGCAGGTCCCTAGGCTTTCGACTGCTCCACCTGATCTCTGTTGAGGTTTTTAATTGGAAATGCTTTTTATTTTTTTTGATGATGCTAGTCAATCTTATTCCGACTGGACATGTCGCGGCATGAGCCAATTAACACAGATAGGGAGCAAACAATGTCAGATCTCATAAACACCCTCACTCTGCACACACACAGATACCAAAACCGAGCCTCTCTGGATCTCTGATTTGCATTCATCTGAAGTAAATATTGTGCACACTGTTCAAACAAGCTGAGATAGTCCTTTGTGTGTTTCATTCAACTCAAACTGAATGACATGTTCTTTTTTTGTTCTCTGCACAATAAAATCATTCACTGTAACATATTTGAAAATAACACATGCTGATGGTTAGAGACTCACCACCATCAGGTTTTTGGAAACCCAGCAGTCAGGAGGGAAATCCTGCAGCATGGGGACCAGGAACTGCAGACAGCCATCCCAGTGGCACAGCAACAGCATCATACCGATCAGGTTAACTATCCTTACCATGGCACTGGCAAGGTCATAGGTCATATGGAAGATCTGAGGAGGAGCAGAAAATATGGATGCAAGTGGGTAATAAATAATGGGTGGAGTCGGCAGTTGACCTTTTTATGAGGATTTTATTTCAGAATTGTTCAAAATGAAATATAAATAGGCCTTTTTTTCCAGCTCATCGGCATGGTGTTAAAAATGGGTTGGATTAGACCCTAAAAAAAATTGTGATGAGTCATGCCTTACATATTAAACAAGTTTTGAACTACTGCTTTCACAAAAATATCTCTTTCCCTCCAGGCTCTGTTTCCTGGTCTCTGTTTCTCACCTCCTCCCACTGGTGGATGTAGCGGATGAGTCTAGACAAGCGGAGCAGCCGAAGCAGGCTTAGGATTTTGGTGAAGCGGACGATGCGCAGTGCCCTGGCTGTCCTGTAGACCTCGGTGTCGAGACTGTCCACCATCAGGAAGATGTAGTCCACTGGGATGGATGACACAAAGTCCACGAGGAACCAGCTCTTCAGGTAGTTCTGGCGAATCGCCCTTAAGTTAAAGTAGGATTGAAGACCAGTGTCACTGGTAAGTTGGCAATCAAGCTTTGTGGAAGTGATTCCAACATTTGGCTGGCGGAAAATGATTCTCATCAATATTCAACAGGAACAGAACTGGAACATGAACAAAGCTCTGCCACTGGCTGCACATCACCTTTTCACATGTCAGACATGGATTGTTTGAACACACACCCAGCAGATGGCCAGAAGAGCAAATTTAAATTCATGGTGACAGAGCTGCTGTGTTGATATTCTGGACCAGTGGTTCCCAACCTTTTTGAGAGAGAGGGCTACCTACAGGCAGAAAACTGTCGGGAGGGTCACACTGTATATTTTTGACGAACATCCATGTTAAATTGATGCTATCAAGAGAATAACATAGCAGTGTGTATTTTCACCTTTTTCATATACAGGGTTGAATGAACTTTTATAACTAGGTTCGGGAACAAAGACCACGTCCTGAACTCATCTCATTTCCGCTCAAAACGTACTTAGGTACTCCTTATCCGTTCACTCCATCCTCAACTCAATTTCCACATCCCTCCCCCTCGAACCCTTTCTTTCCTTTTTTCCCCGTCTCTATAATCCAAATACAGGAACCACTGGGGGTCTCTACAAGAGATACGAAGAGACGGCTCCCCCACTCAGAGTCCCACAACCGACTCAGTTCCCTCTTACCATCTCGCTGAACCCCTCCATCCATTCATCCATCCACCAACAAACCCACCTATCTTCCATCCGTTCATCCCCCATCCTTCCTTCTGATACCCCTACATTCCTCAACCTTCATCCCTCAACCTTCAACCCTTCATCCCTGAACTCTCATCCCTTCTTCGCTTCATCCCTCATCCCTTCATCCCTCAACCCTCGACCCTCATCCCTCCACCCCTTAACCTTTCGTCCCCCAACCCTCATCCCTTTATCCCTCAACCTAACTAACAAAGACCACACCAATGAACGTATGGAATTTAGAAAGGTTTCCCTATCCATTCATCACTCCTACAGTACACCACATTGGTTTATATTTATTCATTATGTGCAATAAACCTTTCTAAATTCCATACGTTCATTGGTGTGGTCTTTGTTAGTGAAATTATATAATATGTAACATTTCTGCATTAAAATGTCCATAAACACTAGAACTACATTCTATATCTTGTTGTGTTGTGCACTTAATTAGTTAGTTATATTAGTGATTTTACTCCGGTGCGTTTCACCAGTCTCCTGTCAATGGTGTCTATCAAAACACTACGGATACCTATCTCAAGCTACTTAATACTGTATACAACTCTTTATGTAGATTTATTTATTTATTATTCACTTGACTGGTTGCAGCCCAATATAATAAAATAATAATACTTCCACTTTCTTTGAGATCCATTATTTCTTTCTGCTGTTCCAGGACATCTTTATTTTCTCATCTGAAAACAACTTGTTTATGTTTTTAATTTTTGTTAACTTAATAACCTTCAGTACTTCTGATTTTATTATCCAGGTCACTGTCTCTAACCTTTTGTTTTTTGTCAGTTTTTCTTGTTTAACAACTGAGGGTGGGGAAAGGGTGAGCAACTGTCTTTATCTGTGTATTTGCACTGAATGTTTGTTATGTAATCCTGTTCTTTGTTTATATGTGTTTTGTTCTGTATTTGTGTCCTTAGGACCCGCTCGAAGATGAGATGCTGCATCTCAAGGAGCTATCCTTTCAATAAATTCATGTCCATATCCCCTTTACACATGCATCAGCGTTGTTGTCATAACCAGTTTTAGGCCACATTTTTACGATACACTTTTTAGATCTTGGTCGTTGTTAACTATATATTTAAAATGGATGAAGGATTATTGATCTTATGGCTGCTTGAAGGCTGTCAGGGATGTTGTTTTTCGGAGAAACCCTGAATTTTAATTTTTATTCACAGAGTCTGTTTGTTTCGGAGAGGAAGAGACCTGTGCGAATAAATCAGCTCCCAAAACCTTATGAACACTGAACACTGAAGGAATCCTAACCGGGAGAAGCTGACTGCAATAACGGCAGTGGTGGTGAAGACAACAACTCCCACGATCCTTCAGTGTCCCCACCCTTGACATAAAAGACTCAAACACAATGCACACATGCACCTACTGACCTGGGGTCCAGCAGTATCTCAGTGTTGTCTTCCTTGATGATGCCGGTCCTGAAGTTGAGAACCAAGTCGACCATGAAGAGAGTGTCCGAGACCACGTTGAAGATGATCCACGAGGGAGTGTTCTCCTCTCTAAAGAAAGTGATGCCCACTGGCAGGATGATTAAGTTCCCCATCATCAACATTAACATCAACAGGTCCCAGTAGAATCTAGACAGAAAAAGACAGTGTTGTTCAACTGTGTTTTATTGTTTTCTGTCCTGATGTGAATATGTCTATATGGTTGTTCTTTTATTTTCTTATGTTCTTAAATTTATATATTTGCCCCAAAGGTCTTTTTAACTGCAAAGCACAGGCATAAATAACAGAATTAAATGATGGGGTGAGTTCCTTTTAGCTGCTTCAGTCCCGGTATTCTGAATACTGGTTTGTTGTCGTCTGTCCTGAATCTGTTCTAACCGGGTTTTTAGTAGCATGTAGTCTGGTCACCCTGAAAAAGCAATGTGACCAGCAACAAAATGCCAGAATCCAATGCAAGAACAAAATGGAGGAGCTGCTCACTATTGGAAAAAACTAAATAAATCGTGGGTGGTGGTGAAACAGCTCCTGAAAGATATCAGGGGAAAAAAAAGTTATATTCTACATTTACTCAATCTATTTATCAAATATGTCTGTCTTCAGTCTGAAAATGTCCTGCATCAAATTAAACAAGTCTTCTAAAGCAGCTGGTCCTTGACATTTCCTACAGGCAATTAGCATTATTCCAAATATGTGTGTAATTTTTTACAACGCTCCATGCTATCCCTGACTGTCTTCCAGTAGCTGCAAATCCCAGAACATTCCCAAAACACATGATAATGATTTGCTTTCACAGTCCCACAGCCTCTCCAGCACGATTTTAGTTGCTAGTCTCTCTCGTCCCCTTTCACTGACACCATCTTTACTTTCAGTTAATCATTTTTATATTTCATTTCCTCATATATATATATATATATTCTTCTGTTAAATCATTCCTATATATAGTCTCCCCTTTGTTACATTCCCCTGAGTTAGACGGTGAGTACAATAACTTGGGGATCATCCAGGACGAGAATAAGTGCAAATTCTTCATTGTAGCCTAAAGTCCAGCAGTGGGACATATGAATGTTTCCCTTAAGACAGTTACATCCATTGCAAATGCCATGGCAACATGTAGTTACATCCTTTATCTCTCCATGAAGCAAAGCAGAACTCAGACAGACAGACAGACAGACAGACAGACAGACAGAGAGGGAGGCAAATGATCAGTAATCTGTATTTCATGCTGGAGGGTATTACTGGATGACGTAGTCCTCTCATAAAATTATGGGGGAATCAGTCATATCATTTGGATGCCGCAAGTGATTAAAGTATGACAGAAGAGGCGATGTAATCATCTGGAGATGATTCCTGTCATCTTTCTGTCTTCATCCTCCTAATCCCATCATCCATCACCTTAACCAATATCAGTGACCCGCCTCTTCTTGCATCCTCCCTCTCTCTTTCTACACACACTCACATTCTCTCTTTCCGCAAGAAAGTACACTGAAAGCTCTGTGGTCGATTGCTATTGAGCGCTAATTTAGTAACACAACCTCATGGTGTGATGCTACTGCTAGACTGATGAAGATTAAGTATGAGTCATCACTCTGCTACACACATTTCTCCCTGACTTTGTCACTTCACTTCATAATCACTGGCAGTAAATACGGAGATTATTTACAGCAACACAGCGACTCTGTAACTGTTGTGACTGGACTGGAGATTTATTCCTGACCTCGAGGACACACTTTGTTAACTCTGATTATAGGAAACAGTTCTGTAAATCACATCATATTACACTGAGGCTGTCAGTCGGTACACAAAATATTATCAAAAATCTGGTACTTTACAGTGGTACTTCATGTTCTGATGGAGTTTAGAATATCTATTATAATGATGCATTAACTTTTGCTTTTGCTATTATGTGTTGTACCAGAGTTGAAACAATTAGTCTCCTAAGTAATTAGAAGAAATTTGTCAATTTTGATGATCAGTGAATCACTTTAAATTAGTTTTTAGAAAGCCTGAAAATGACTTCTCTATAGCTTGCTTTTTTTCTAGTTTCCTTAGACTCATATGATATTAAACTGGATATCTTTGAGTTTTATATTGTTGCTCAGACAAAACAAATCATTTGAATGTATAAGCTGGAATTTACACTACTGATTAAACTGATTATTTGATTAATGTATAAAATAATAGGCAGATTAATGAAAAAAATAATACTATATGTAATATGTATTATAATGGTGGAAAGTACAAGGAGTTTTTAACTGTCTCAGTCTCAGTGACCTACATAAACAAACAAGACCATCAGCGAGAGTATTGCCTATTTCTATGTAGTTATTCTTAATACCTGCGGTTGGATTCTGTCCGATTCTCCTTTAAATCAGTGAGGAGGTGGAGATACAACCACAGAATCAACACAAAATGAAAGTTCCTCATTGGGGCTTTATGTAGTTTTTGAGGTACTTTAATTTCATGCTACTTTATAATTCTACTCCACTTAGTTTCACCACATTTATTTTACCGCAACAGTAAAGAAACAACCTTATTACTACTTAATATTATACTGTAGCAGAAATAAATATTTTCTTATTTTCTTCCCCATTAAACATCTGCTGATCTAAACTACTTAACTACTTGATGGAGTATTTTTACATTGTTCTACTTTTATTTAAATAAAGGCTCTGAGTACTTACCTCCACTGCCCTACTCTATATAGTACATCTCAGTCTATTACCACATACGCACACAGACAGTGAGGTGCACTGTTGCAATGCTCTCCTCTCAGATAGCTTGCATAGATTTAAATGAGCGTTAATCTAACCTCAGCAGCATGCAGCAGTAACATTTTAGCTTGCTGAGTAACGTAATAGATGACATTGAGCATGTCACTGCGCATCAATCAGTCTCCCTGTACTAGATTTTGCTGTAGTCACTGAGATGTGGCAGCTGGTTTGAGCTCAAACAAATGAGAACAATAAAACAGACAAGAGAGTACGTCAGATCCAAACCAAGAACGATGTGAAGGTTTGCCATGTCGGGATAAAAACCAGACAAGGCCTGATTTCTGATCTCTCAATTGTGGACTGAAGCCACACTGGGTCATGTATTGTGTGTGGTGCATGCAGGTATACATCTACGCACACACACAGCCTCTCTCATATGCGCAAATAGGAATTGCAAATGCAATCAAAGCTTTTCTCCATGGCCTCATCAGAATGCCATTTTGAACATGAGCAGGTGCTGGAGGAGAACTGACCTGCATCTACCTGCTCAGCTGTCAAACCAAACACTAATTCTACTGTAATTGAGGCCAAATGTCTCTTGAGCGGCCTCTGATTGGTTCCCTGTTCACGGTTGGCCAGATGTCAGTTCTGAGCAAGTTTCCACCCATCATCTTGACAGACATACAAACAAACAAGCACAACAGCAAACCAGCTATTATATAATAAATCTCTGCTACTATATGTGTAACGCCACCTACCCTGTTTCAACACGACTCATCTGTGTTGACAGTCAAACTGCCTGTTTTTCTGTTTTCAAGTGTTCTCATTATGTATTCTTATAGGTGCAGCAGCAACACTTCTTTTCTTAATGAGGTGAAGGGTGGGAGAGCTTATCAGCAGACTCAATAAAGGCAGACCACACACACAAGAATACATATTACTGCAAGTATACACACAGACCTTTGTGCTCAAGGTCACCAGGGAAAAAACACATAAATGGGGCTTTAGAAGTAATCTGATTGTCTTTTTTCTCTCTCGCTCTGGCCTCAGAAAGTTCCTGCTCAGACATCGCTCCAGACTACAGGTACTTAACTGAAAAGTTAGATGACTGAATTATGTATAATGCATACTCAACTTGCATAATTTAAGGATGTCATACATAATTGATCAAAATTCAATTGTGATTCTCTGACTGGATAATTAGGACTATTACCATCATTAGATATCTCGCATGTATATCCATAAAGCGCAGGCGGGACTAAGATTCAACGGGCCGTTCATACATCCACACCCCTTCATCCATCCTTCCCTCCACCCCTCACTGACCTCATTCACCGTATCTCCTGTGTGCAGACTCATAAGCAGCACTTGTGAGTGATCATCAAATTGACAGACAATACAAAACGACCCGGCGTGTGTGTGTGTGTATGTGTGTGTGTGTGTGGGTGATGAGACAAAAGTGGGCCAGGAGCCTTGGGGATCAAGTCATCCATTGTTGCTGCAGTCTGTCTGGAGATTACAGATGCGGTCCCTCCCTCTTCTGTCCACCTGCATTTTTTAGGAGTGTGTTCATGCAAAGCCTCTAACAAACCACGTCCAATGATTTTTGACATGTCAGTTGTAAAATAATATGACATATTAAAAGAAGTATTTGAGGGCGCATGCAATTTGGCCGTGTGTGTATAAGGCACAAGGGCAGGCATTCACAAAATTTCCCCTCACGTACTCACCTCCATTCAAAAAACCAGTGGAACGTTTACTCTGTTCGTCTTTCATTCAAGGAAAACCAAACATGAACAGCCTCAAAACATAATGATTCTAATAAATCCTTGCATGGAGTCACCAATAGGGAGTGCTGTGCCGGGTTCATCCACTGTTCACATACTTAACATTTTAACTAATTGACATGGTAAGCATCTCTCACTGCTCCCTGATTGGCATCTGAACGCCTCTTTGCTAAATTTATCCTCCTAATTTTTATTTGTTCACCTCTGTCTCCCTCTAATTGTGAAAACTATTTCTTATGCAAAAAGCAGGTTACAATGAGTCTAGTATTTATCCTCTCACTGTTTCACAAATGGACACCTACTATCGCTGCATGGTGTCTATCCTGGAGTCCTTGTCACCTACACACTGCCCTTTCCATAAACACATCTCCCTCTGGCTTCATCGAGCCTCCAGAGACTTTTCATCCACTCCCCTCTTATCATTCTGTCTTTCAACCTTTTATACATCCTCTGCCACTATAGCCTGTTTCCTCCAGAGACTTCCATTGAATCCACTCTAACCCTCACATCACTTCCTATACACTTCTGGTGTGTCCCCAGATATATATATTTAGCCTCTTGCATGTGTCTCTCCTCCCAGTTGTCCTCCTCTTTCTCCCTGTTAACAACTGAAGCGGCTGCTGAATGTATGATCTGTTTCTCTTTCCCTGTTCCTCTCTTTACTTAAGTGTCCATTATTATGCTTCAAGTATGCTCCCTAAAGTGAGCACAATTCCAGCTTGCTTTGATCCTTATTTCTAGTGAAAGAACATTATTTTTATGTGCTACAAGTGACATTTATTTTGCAAGCCGACATCAGTGTAACTAGATGCATGCTGTGGAGGCTAGTTGTGTGTGTGAGTATGACTGCATACCTAAAGTCACTGTAGGGATGTATGATCCACGCCCCTGCTGATTTCAGTCTTTCCTGCTCCAGTGCCACAGCTTTGTGGGATCCAAACATGCGCAGGCTGAACTTGTTGACCCCCGGCTGAAGCATGGCTCCAAACTGTCTCTGGATGAAGGTGCTCTGGTTGGAGGTGCTGTAGTCCTCTCCGTCCAGCCCCATGCCAAAGCCACCCAATCCGATCTGACCCATCATATCAGGGGTCCCTGCTGCAGTGGTGTTGCAGGTCGTGGTGGTGGTGGTCTCTAGGCCGGTGGCCACCACCATCACTCCAGTCCCAGTGGAGGAGGTGGAGGCTAGGGCAGCTCGGGACGAGGCAAAGCCCACTGAGCGTGGTGGAGGATGGGCTGTGGCAGAGGAGGCGGGTGGTGGAGGTGGCAGGGGCACTGGGGTGGTTGGGGTGCCTGCTGTGCGGAAGGGAAGGCCATCTCTGGTGGAGGAGCTCATGATGGAGAGGCGACGGCCGCGTCCACCTAATGAAGTGCTGTCTCCCCCGAAGGAGCCCCTTTCCCCTTCTAGTGAGGCCTGGGACAGCCTGTAGCCTGGGGAGGGCAGGCTGCCCTTACTGCGCCTCTTCGAGTCCCCTCCATTACGTCTGGGGAGGCTATCGCCCCCAGACCCCCCGCCGCTGCTGGGGGTACCCACACCTCCAGCCACTCCATCCATCCCAGCTCAGGGAGGAGGAGGGTGAGGGGAGGGTGAATATAACCTGTAACTCCCACCTCTTCAAGAAAACTATTGTTTAGTGTGATTGACCTGTCTGGAGTACATAGGTGAGACTGTCAATGTCAATCTGAATGTTAAATTAAAGAAGCTAAAGAAAAGTGGTCTCTGTATCCCTAGTCATTCTCCTGGAGCCGACAGCTCACACCTCCGCCCTCTCTCCGCCGATGTGGCCATGCTTACCTCAGTGCCCTTGGAAAAAGCCCCATCCAGACATTAAATCTCTCAGCCTGCCGGTGTGACGCCAGCAGCTTCACTTTTGCTCTTGTCTTAAAGAGTCTCTTTTGTCCTTACAGATGTTTCTGTATCATTCCTCCTTCCTCGTCCTTGAAACGTCGCTCTCCCCCCGAGGCCCTCCCTCTCCTCTCCACAGCCGCCCTCAACGCTCCGACGCCGGTCATGTTGGCACCGGATTCCCGGTCTTTTGTAGATAACGGAGCTCGCCACTCATTGGCCGTCGGTGTCTTGTCTGTGAAGCCTATATGTCCAGGCTGCTCACCCAATTTGGCTATTTCCTGCATATATCATTATATAGCCTACGAGATGATTGGAGCGGTAAGGTGGGGAACATTCATCCGCGGATGAATGACAAGGACAGTTGATCCTCTGTCAGGAGGGATTGGTTGTTAATGGACATAAGGGACGCACATAATAGGCACACACAGGCGCTCACACTCCGAGGCGCACTGAATCATTCTGACTCGCACCAGAAACACGCACACAAAAAACACAACGACAGGGACACACAAGACGGCAGAAACAAGGCAATTTACCCCAAATCTATCCCATTTATTCCCGTAATCGGCGGCACGTTGTCATTGTCAGTATCCGAGCGGGTAAAGCGCTCATCATGATGGAAGGCGCGCCGAAATGTTGCCTGCCCGTGATTCAAGCGCTCAGACAGCCAGAGGAGAGAAACCCCAGTCTACAACAGGGCTGGTTTGTTAAACTGATGTCGGGATTAAGTTGGTCAGGTGTTCAGAGTCTGACGCCTGAAATCGTGTGTTCTCTCATCAGCAGCCGCTGCTATCTATTCCCACTTCTGCCGACTTTCAATGACATTGTGTCCAGACTACAGGGATACGGCGGTGTCCTCTCCCCTCTCCGAACAGGCTCTATATTTTAAAGAATACGCTCCTCCAAGATGAAACGGTGCGCTCTGATGAATTCAAAAGCCTCCTTAAAAATAAAACAACTTGTTGAGCGTTGAAGGCGGCTGCTCATTCATATACAGTTCAGAGCCGATTGAGTCCAGTTGAAAGCTGAAAATTCACTTCTCACTCTGACTCAACACTCAGAGGTCGAGCCGGCACGTCCACGGTAGCGCGCAGCGCATGCAAATGAAATATTAAATAAATAAATGTGCATATAAAGGTCTGGATCTAATCGGCCTGTTGCCATGGCATCCGCATCCCCATCATCCGTCCCCGAAGGCCGCATGCCCGGCCGGCGCAAGACGCACGCAATCCCTCGCAGGTACAGGTCGCGCGTCATCCTCTCTCACCAATACAGCGAGGCAGCGCGTGATGGAGAGAGTGATGATGAAACCTCGGGAAAAAAAATCTCGGAAAAAGAGCGAGTCCATGTAACAACGGTGACAAGTCACAGAGAAAAATGTCTGGTTCATAAGTGATCATTTTATTTTACCCTGAGGTGATATATAATAATTATTTTACAAAGACAACAAATGTCAGGCTAGTTTTCTGTAAATACATAATTAGTAATGTGTGACCTGTTGAGAGCTGAAAATGAATAAAATAACAGTCATGGAAAGTAACTAAGTATGTTTACTCAAGTAGTGAATATTTCTTTGCAGATTACTATTTACACGCCCTTCCTGTCTAGTAAAAACTATGTATGTCTAAATGTGATGATTTTGAATTAGATTTTTTGGTCAGATACACTGAAGGATTAAGTGTTTCTTTATGGGTTGAGAGAATAAAACTCTCTTTGGATTACTGGGAAAATGCTGAAAACAGTTACAGTTACAGTTACATACATTGATTTTATAGAATATGTTGCATTGCTGTAGATTAAACTATAAATAAGCACAATGCAACATACACATTAAGCAGTAATATTGATCCAAAAACATTATATATAACACTGACAGGGACCAGATAATGGCTACTTTTACTTTTGATAAGTACATTTAGCTATTTGCTATAATATTTATATATTTACTTTTACCTTAACTGTAAAGTCAGGTTTTGAAAGAAGGACTTTTACTAGTAACAGAGTATTTTCACAGTGTGCCATTGTTATCTTTACTTTATTAAGGATCTTAATTCTCTAAGTGCTTTAAATTGGTCGTCTCTGTGCGTTTGGAAAGATAAATTGTTTTAAACACCCGTGACCAACATGCTCAATAAGCTCACTATATGGGTATTATGGACAGAAAGAGAAAAGGTAATCTAAGGGAGGAAGGAGAAAGTCTGCAGGAGAAAGATGAGGACGTCACATAAAGGATCATCAGACATGAGAAAGCCCCACACAGGAGCAGATATAATTAGTTTATGAGAGAACAGTGGGCAGATGTCGGCATCTGGGTCATCTCAGTGGACAAAAGACTGTAGTTCAATACCTGTCATCTCGCATCTCCCGGCACTGCTTATAATAGCCAAAAGAATTGCGTCGTAACAGAGATAAGCTCAGAACTATGGACAGGAATAAAAGCCTTATCTCCGGATTCTATGAAGGCTACCAATAATGATATTCCTCAACAATGGCAGACAAAGAGACAATATTCATATTCAATTCAATATTACTCCCACAAATAAGAGAGATGAAAATAAGAGGCTTGACGGCTCAATTAGAGAAGCTTAAAGTTAATGATTCAAGTTTTATTTGGAGGGAGTCATCGCTTTCAAGACACATTAAACACAAATTCAGCATTCGTCAGAGCAGTTGTGGTGGCAGGTGTTTCCTTGAGTTTCTAGAACAATGATGATACTGCCAATAAATCTATTAGTGACAGTGTTTATTCTTTTATTTAAAGCGGTGGTTCCCAGGTTTTTCCATTACATTTCTACGTTGTAGAGGCTGCATGTCAGTCAGATATAGAGTTGAGTAAGGTCAGGTTGTCAGGGGACACTGACTGCCCTCATAATGTTAGTGTGACCGGACCCTGGGATCCAGCCTGTCACCACAATCACCATGTCGCCTGACTTGAAGAATCCTCTCGCTTTCCCTGTGGAGGCAGACGGAGAGAAACACAGGAGGGTGTGTGAGTAAGACAGTATCATAGCATACAAATAAGCAGACTAATGGAGGGATACATACAGACACACACACACAGCTCACACACACTGACCTATATCCATGCCGAAGTTGACCCTGTTGTCTACATCATCGGCCCAGACGGGAGCAGGCAGAGGATAGAAGAGGACAGGAAACACTCCTCTTAACAGCTGAGACTGACGGGCCACCTAAGGGAGACGACAGAGTAGACAAAAGCTGCTCAGCGATCACTTCAGAGTTTTAAATAACTACGAACTGTTTGCTGTGGTGGAAAATAACTAAGTAGATTTACTTTAAGAGGTGTACTTCAGTACAAGTTTGAGGTACTCTATATTTCTACTCCACTACATCTCAGAGGCAAATATTGTACTTTTTACTCCACTACATTTATTTATTCAAGAACTTTTTGCTTAACAATTCAAATTATAGTCAAATAAATGATTATGTATTATCATAGATAAATATAAAACTTCAGAATTTCAGAAGCAGAACATACTAAAATGAGCACACAGACAGAATGTTATTATGAAATGGGTCAATCTGCATAATGAGTACTACTTTTGGTATGTATGTATTCATGTTTTTACTTTTGTACTTTCACGTAAGTAAAGTTTTGAATGCAGGACTTTCACTTGTAACAAAGTATTTCTATACTGTGGTTTTAATACTTAATTATGTCAGTAAAGAGTACTTCTTCTGATTTTTTGTGAAATTAGTTCATCTCAGATTGTTTCAATTGAATGGGTTTTATAGATGTGTAAGTATCCAGTATTTCACAAAGACAGAAAAAGTGAGAGAAAATTTAAAAGAAAAATATAACTGTTTAGTGTAACAGAGGTATATAGTTATATAAGAGGATATAAGGTTTTCTTGTGACCCTCGGGTTGGGACATTGATCTAATGCCACATTGAGGCCAATTTAACTGACATTTTGGTCCAAAGGTTATCTAAAAATCTAAAGGCCAGACTTACTTTAAATCCACTGACAATATTCAATATGTCAATATTTTTGGTGAACCCCTGACCTTTCCTCTAGCACCACCAGCAGCCAAACCATCCACTTCTAAACAATAAATACACATCATGTGATTTAAAATGGATATTCATGCTCCCCAGAAGAATAATCCTTTACATTTTGGACACTTTTCTCCATTAACACCATCAGGCCAAAATATCACATTTGCATACGATGTCATGGTTTAAACACATCCATGTTACAAGGAGTTACACCCTTCTGATCTTTATGATCTCATGACCTTTCCTCCCTCAGGACAAGGACATAATTTATTATCCTATTACACATCTGTTAAAATAATAGGAAGATTTCATAGGTTCATTATATAGAGAGCATAAAAACGTCTTGTTAATAAAGTTATGTTCGGAATAGTTAATTTTTTTTTTTTTTTAGAAGTATTCTAGTAATGCTTTTGATTTGTTTTATTTAAGAAAACGACGTGGTTTCAGTTTACATACATTCATTTATGTCATATAAATGCTGTGCAAACCTTTTCTGAGAAAAAACATATGAAATTGTGAGAACAGGCTCCTGGTTCCCAACAATGTTAGAAATTTGTACATTTAGACGTTAGTTAAATAATACTCAAGTTGCAGTTTGCATGCATGTCTGTCCAGACTGATATAATACATGTAGTGAAGTAATTTAATAAATGGTATTAAGTGTATTCTTTGGAAAAAATATCATTATATTGATGATACATCCAGTTAATATACATTTTTGGATTATTAGGATTATAGATGTACTGGCTAAACAGGTACACATGTACTTAATAACTGTAAAGTTAAATTCTTATAGAGTTTAGTTACATAGGTTTTGTTTTCTCTTGGTATTTTTAGAGGCAAAGTCTCTCTATGAGCTGTAGGTGAAACTCACTGACTCACTCTCTGATCAACATTAGCGCTCAATATGTTGTCTGCAGTCATGTGATTCTGATGACGCTTTAAATTCAGACTGTGTCAGTGAATGAAAGACAGAGGACGCACTGAGGAAAGTTATTGTTTAGGTGTCGTCTGAGTCAACATGTGTGTGAAATCTAGAATTGCTCATTTCAGTCTTAAATTATGGCTAAAAACCTAATTTGAGGCCACAATGACCTTTAACCATTGGGCCAATCCAAGGTCAAATCATGTCTCCAGTTAAAACATGTTTTGTGAGGTCACAGTGGTCTTTGACCTTTGACCACTAAAATCTAATCAGTTTATCCTGTTGGAAGAAATTCCCTCGAGGTGGAGTGACAACCCAAAAACATAAAGCCTCCAGCCACAAATATCACCGGCACTGAGGATATGATAAAGGTGGACAAAAGTGGGCAAATATAAGAATATAATAAATATACTTCCAACAGTTAAATGCAAATGTTAGAGGTGATAATTTTGTCTCTGTTATCATTTATTTGTCTCTTGTAGCCATTATTTTTTGTTTTATTTCTAATGTGAATGTTTTAATTTATATTTATTTATATATTTGCATTATTGTTTTAATTATTTATTTTTTCTATTGTTGTATTTTATTGTGACTACTTCTTATCTCACTTATTATTTGTATATCAACAGGGCACTCCTGCAAAAGAGAGCTTGCTCTCGCTGAACTTCTCCAGACCCCCCTGTGATCTGAGATGTGTGTTGTCATAAGTAGGGTCAGAGGGTCAAGCTCCCATGGAAGCAGCCATCCACTGAGCTGAATGTGTCCACACCAGGTCCAGATGTACTCCTCTGAATCTGACTCCTCTGACCTCCATATGGAGCATATAGCATGTGGAGGGGGCTCTTATATGGATTAACTCCACAGGACTTTAAAATCAAGGGTAAACGTGATCTACTTTAAAAACTGTTTGTGACACATTTTGTGCTCTGAACACTTTTTAAAATAACTGTACGCTCTGTAGAAACACACTCCAGTAAAACATCACACATAAATACAGTCAGTGGGACCAATCTGAGACATCTTTAGCGCTGTCACTATTTACAACAACAATGACTGTGAGAGTAAATACTGACTATATCACACATTGTTCAGTTTTGAAAAGTGTGAGTCATCAACAATTAAGTTGTGGTTCTCGGAAGACAAATGCACGGCTGGTACACATAGGCAGACTGTACCTGAGGGGTTCTGGTGACGGCAATAATAGGACAGCGAGGGCGGTACCTGGACAGGAGATGTGCAGCCCTGGAGAGACAATCAGGAAAGAAGGATAGTGAGAAGGAGCGAAAATATATCATCAATATCGGCACATGTGAACAGCAATTCCATGTACAGATAGGTTATTTAGAGTGACTTAAGTGCATATTTGCCTTCCCTCCAGATTTCCCCCGGGAGACTCCTGCATTTTTGGTTTCCTCCCAGGGTCACAATTGTCCCCTATTTCTTCCAATTTCTGACATATTTTCACCATACAGCATGTATAACAAAATACAAGGGACACTGAGATGACGTGACACATAGACATTAACATTTAGCTCAAAGCACTGCTAAGCCTGAGCACAGCCTCACAGAGTTGATAGCATCACTGTTTCCTTGCAATCTTGATCCAAAATCAAGGTCATCAGGGTCTGCTCAGCGTCTTTATAGAGTAATATAGGAAGATAGAACGGAACAATTTGCACTTATTATGCTTCTCCACTCAAGTGTTTTTCCTTTAATTTGTTACCCTCTATATGTGGTGCCTGTGTATATATAGAAATAGGCCTATGTGGTGATTTAAAAATATGCATTCAAATGTGTAGTATATCTATATGTGTGTGTGTGTGTGTGTGTGTGCATGTGTGCAGAGTAATCTTAATTTTGCAAGCAGTCAGAACACAATAAGCATTATAGTCAATGTTAAACTCTACCCAAAGGATGTGAAAGCTGAAAATATTCATAACATCTGTTGCTCCAACCTTTATAGAGCATGTATGTCTGTCCAGGGGGAAGAAGAGAAACTAAAAAACTGAGTGATATGTTTACCAAGGTGTAACTCTTTCATGAATGAGTCTATATGTGCATGCTTTTAAGATGACTCAGCACCACCGTTGCACGGTAATGCAGGAAGTGGTGGGTCCTGTATGTAAAGAGGTGGAGGGTTAGGGTGTGGATGTCGGGGTGTTCACACAATCTTAAAAATAAGATGAGAAGATTGATACCACTCTCATATCTGTACAATTAAGAGCTAGTTGGCGGATTTGGTTACATTTGGACAAAGCCAATTTCCAGTGTTTGTGCTAAGCTAAGCTAACTCTATGCTATGCCAACACAACGCTAAATCTACAGATATGAGAGTGGTATCAATCCTCTTAATTCTTAAATTGAATAATAAATATTTCCCAAAATCTCAAACTAACTCTTTAACTATACCGTAACCACACAATGTTTGGGACACACACCTGCCACTGGTGGTGAGGACTATGATGGCCCCAGCACAGCATTTGAAGGAGGACTCTACAGCTCCAATGGCTGTGACCTCTGTGGGGTCAGAGGAGAGAGGAGTGAGGCGACGCAACTCCTCAAACAGCTGCTGGTGGAAAATGGCCGCCTCTGCCTCCCTGCAGATCTAAGAGACAACGACAGACAAGGGAGTGTGTGTGTGTGTGGGGTGGGGGACAGAGGGGGAGAGGGTTATCAGAGGGCACTAAGTCAGATGTAATAGAGTGGACATCATGCACACACAGAAACACGCACCGAGTGCATCATTGCGACTGCCTCCACAGGAAACAGTCCCTTGGCGGTCTCCCCAGATAACATTACACAGTCGGCTCCATCCAGTACGGCATTGGCGACGTCACTGCCCTCTGCTCTGGTTGGTCGTGGGTGGGCCACCATGCTTTCCAGCATCTCTACACACACACACACACACACACACACACACACACACACACACACACACACACACACACACACACACACACACAGAACATCAGCTTCACATTAGTCTTTTAACCACAACCAAAATGTCTCCATGACAAGACTGTGAAGGGATTAGATCAATGAATCCATCAAAAATAAGCCACTTTGTATGTCAATTTTTGTCCTAGATGAGAAAGTAATGTAAGGCACACAGGCTTTAGGGAGACAATGAAGAGAGGAGCTAATGGCTTTCTGGATGGATGGACAGTAGTGGAGGAGAAATGAGAGATCGTTTAGACTAAGGCAGGCGAGTATGAGTTTGCGAGATCATTATTGGCGTGCTGGAGACTCAGTATTATGAGTCAATAAGCACAGCAGACGGTTGGAAAATAAAATTGCTCGCAGCATTGCCGTAGAGACCGCACTTTTGTAGTAGCTAAGAAGCTGCTGCTAATGCTGATTAGTGTATGTGTGTGGATGTTGTTTGTGGGCTCGGGTCTTGACTAGCAAAACCCGCTATAACACTGTCACTCTAAGTCAGGAGCTGTAGCAGAAACAAGATACAGCACTGTGACTCAAAATGTCTGCGGGAGCCTCTGTGTGTGTGTGTGTGTGTGTGTGTGTGTGTGTGTGTGTGTGTATAAAGGGAGAGGGGTGTGAAAGAGAGGAAATGTGTCTTTGAGGATGAATTTATTGGACAAGTGAGTGTGTGTTTGTGTGAGTACATTACGTAGGAGTGCAAGGTTAATGTGTGCCTGTTAGGTTTTAATGTTAGTTTACTTGGACCCATTTGACGTTTGATTGGATAACACTGTAGTTAAGAGTCTAAATCTGCATATTTGATCATTTCTAGCGTGTGTTTGTGTATGTGCCTGTGTCCCTGACCTGTGTGGCACAGATAACAGGCTTGCCGGCAGAGTTGCAGCGTCCAATCATCATCTTCTGGGCGATGAAGACTTTCTCCGCCGGGATCTCGATCCCCAGGTCACCCCTGGCAACCATCACGCCATCGCTCTCAGCTAGGATCTCCTCAAAACTGACAGAGATTCAGAGGGAGAGTTCGGTATAATAAAAAAAAACAAGGAGTTGGAAAAGAGAACAAAAGGAGGAGTGAGGAGGGATGAGGGAGGCAAAGAGGAACAAAATAATGATGTTTCTGTGCCTTGTCCAGGTCTATATCTGCAAAAACAGGATTCTGCACACCGCTGCTGGATCTAGAAAGCATACTGAGCATAGAGTCACATCATGATCTAAATCCTACATCATCTGGATGAAATCCAAATACATGTGTGAGCAATGTAAACGAGCAGCAGGGACATATAATTAGGATGCAGATTAAAAGACAATTCAAATACAGCTGCTGGAGATGTGACTCGTCACGCCCAATGTTGATACAGAGCAACATAATCCTGTACAATTTAATCTTTTTCATTGATCAAAAAAATCCCATTTAAATTGGAAGCGTAGTTAAAGAGCGAACAGTAGGAGACAGCAAGAGATAAGTAATGGAGATGAGAGAGCTGTAAAATAAATTGTGTCAGATATATTAAGTGGCAGCTATAACTCACAGACAGCCACACAGATCGCTTCTCATAGATGTGTAAAATCCAGAGCTGACATATGTCCATCCATCACCAACAGCTGGCTGTCCACAGGGTGGTTTATAAGTCCTGTCACAGCCTCATTATGAAAATTTCAATGCCTCCAGCTACTGTATCCCTCAAAATAACTGTGCCTTAATGGATTTATTTATAGCATATTCCTTTACTCACTTCTGAACGCCTTGCCGGCTTTCCACCTTGCTGATCACTTTGATATCTCGCCCGTGGGGCCCCAGAACTCGCCGCACGTCTCTGACATCCTTAGCGGAGCGGATGAAGCTGGCGAACACCATGTCTACGCCCTGGGCCACCCCAAACCTCAGATCAGCCTCGTCACGCTCGCTGACCGCCTGCAGGGCGATAAGGTCGCAGCCAGGGAGGTTGACGCCTTTGCGGCTGCACAGCACGCCACTGGCCTCCACCACAGTATCCACCCAGTCAGGGCCTGCAGGAGGAGTTGAAGAAAATAAGAGGTCAATTAAATTATCCTCAGAGTTGTGAATTGAGGATACATTTCTTTGTAAAGATTGAGTTGAGAAAGGAGTTTTAACTCTAGTGGATCTCCTTGAAGGAAACAATGTTTATTAAATTTGGAGAAAGGTTTTGTCTCTAATGCAGATTCCTGGAAATATCAAAGATCTAAAGGAAAATGTATGCACATACTCTGAGGACCCCCTTTAGTTCGGACTAATTAGAGGAAGGTCCATAAATGTATCTGGGATTTCTGAAGTTATAATTGTGATTTCAATCAGGCGGTATGTACTGAGCGACCCACTAATTATAATATATATACTGCAGAGCCTTAGATATGATCCAAACTACATTACTACTATAATGGTGGGGAAGTAGATTTTGTTATGAGACAGAAGGACTCCAGGGGAATCATGTTTTCATGACTCTGAAGGTTATTCAGCTAGGCAAGGTTAGAAAAACTCTCATTGAGAATGACAGACAGGCCCGATCATTATGATTTGTGGTCTCTATGAACTGATGTAGTGCAGCAATAAAATATGAGACAAGTAGGACATTGTGCATTGGTATAATGAGTAAAATGCTATGTGTATAATAATGGAAGCCAGGAATCTAGCAGGTATGTAGGCATTTGTGTATGTACATGTGTATGCTTACATATATGTGGATATGCATATGTGCAAATGTGTGGGTCTTTTTTCCCTATTAGTATTGTTGTTTTCTCAATGATTTTTGTATTTATCATTTAGCAAAATTGCTCAAATATATATAATTAAACAAGAAAATAAGAACTAAACTGTTTGTTAACACTCTGGGTTTGTTAAAGTCAGTTTAATATTTATTACCTATTTCTTGCACTTTGAGTCCAATGAGGCCGTCATCAATGTAGATAATGCCTCCCTTCTTGAGGACTTTGGGCAGACTAGGATAGTCCACCCAGATGATCTTCCCGTCTGTCTTGTCTTTGTCACTCTCTGCTGTCACCACACGGACATGACTGCCCTTTGTCAGCTCCACCTCCTCCTCTACTTTCTACACACACACACACACACACACACACACACACACACACACACACACACACACACACACACACACACACACACACACACACACACACACACACACACACACACACACACACACACACACACAGTAACGCTGCTTTTAAGTAAACACCATTATTGTCTCTCTATTATCGACACATTTTTAAAAGCAAGGTCCACTTGAGGGACAACTAATGACTCAAATAGGTAATTATTTAAAAAAGCAATGCATTAAATACCATTTAATGTCAACACACTTCTCAAATGCAGCGAAGGAGTTATCACATATTTGTAATCACTAGTTGTTTCAAGGAAATCATCTCTTTTTTTAGAAGTATTATTTTAAGTAGAGCCCGACTGATACGTAATTTTTGAGGCCCACGTGATACTGATTTCAGAGGGGAGACATTCAAATATTACAGATATGGCGGCCGATATAGTGGGCACTGAAACGACTATGCAAAGTAACTCAAAATGCTGCTTTCTTAAATAAATTGCTTTATTAAAGAATATTTCAGTTAAATATTCTTTAACATGTTAAATAATTTAACATAAACATAGTCAACCACTTTTAGTTGACAATGCTGAGAGCTGCTTCTTCTCTCTTTTTTGCCACAGAATTGTAAATTGCACTCTATTGGATAAATATCAGCCAACAGATATATCTAATATCTAATTTTAAGCTCCTGTGTTTGCATGACATACAAATTGTTCTGCAAATTGTTTACCTTAAACATAAAGACCAAGAAATCACTCAAAATCTTCTCTGCTATTATTCGAAATAAATATGTTTCTCTTCTGGCATGTCTGACTTATATGGCAACCCTCCAGGTTCTGATGTGGTCATCTATAGTGCTTTGATGTACCTCTATCTGTTGGTGAGCATGGTGCTCATGGAAAAAAACCAAACAAAGATCAAATATTTGACTTTCTCATCCGCACAGAGAATGTTCCTCTGTTTGCTGTTGCAAAACCACACCCGTCTGACCTGAAACCTGCTTGAGTCAACTCTACAGGTCGTCTAAACCCATGCTGAACTTCAACAATCTAGTGTGTGTTATGATACTTGTGGCTGAATAATTCACATCAGAGGTTGTGAGAGCCAAAGAAGATGATAACATGACAGATGTCAACTGTACAGGGCTATAATTGTCCCAAAAATATGTCAATTGCTCATTCATTTGTTCATGTCTACTGTTATTATCTAACTTTTGGTTGATTGTGTTTTATAGTGTGTGTCATCCTTCCTGTCATCTATTTGTCGACATTCTTCCTGTTCATGTAAAATGTCAGTTGCTAAAACATGCAAGAAATGACAGAGAAATTAGAATTAGCTGGTAAGAATATCATATAAAAGATAATATATAACATAAAATATAAATGCACATTTGTGTAAAACACACGTGTTAATAACTCTATTTTATCCTTCAATTAAGCTGCTAAACAGACTTTACAAGAGGCACAACAAGCAAGAACCAGTGTGCAGCTTGTACGTCACGCAGATCATTTTGTAAGCTAATCAAGGCATGACGAGGTTTCCAACAGCTTGGAGTTATTTGTTCAGCAAAGCAGACAGCATGCAACAGCAACACAAAGAGCAACACAAAACGCCAACAGTCGCTGAGGTAACAGTAACACAAGATGATACAAAGCAGGTCGACATATTTTCAGCTCCTCTTACACCTGACTGCCTGTGACTGCTTGATTAGACTGTTTGACAGATGCAGCATAACATGTTTACCCCTTTCACTAATCCAGTGCGGATCTCCGGACCCTTCGTATCCAAGGCGATGGCAACCGGACGATAATACAAGGGGTCAGGGGTTACCGTCTCCACTGCCTCTCTGATGTTTTTGATGGTTTCGCCGTGGTACTGACAAACACAGGGAGGGAGAAAGACAGATAATCAATACATGACTGAAGAAAAGACCAAAACATGTGTGCATAAGTACTGTAATTGGGACACAGAGAAACACGTGTGCTACTGGTAAACATACTTCATGTGAGCCATGTGAGAAATTTAGACGAGCAATATTCATTCCTGCCTTGACCATCTCTTGAAGTTTGGGGACTGATCGGGATGCAGGACCTGAAAGGACCAGAAGAGAAAGACATTTGACAGTAAAACGATTTGATTGACAGAAACAACTCTGATAAGCACTCCATATCTCTTATTTGCATAATGCACAGAGTGTATATATTTCTAATTATCGTCTTTATATATTATATTTTATATTATATCTTTATAATATTTTTACTCAGTATTCTTTATTGTACATTTTCGCCTATGCTGCTGTGTCAAATTTGAGTTTTAAATAATTTTCAATAAAAATAAACTGATTCCAGCTTCTCAAATGTGACAATTTACTGCTTTTCTGTAAAGTAAACTTTGGGTTTTGGAGTAATTTGAATATATCAACTTGTGTTATGTAAATTATTTTCACTACTTCCTGATATTTTCCTGATATGTTATGATATAAAAAGCTGCAGTCGCACAATGAAATTAACCATGTTGGTGTAATTTACTGCTAGTCAAACAGTTGGAGACAAGTCCTTCAGTAAGTAGTTAAGAAATACCTGCAATACGACGATATCCAGAGACTCAGAGCTCTGCAAGAACTAAGAAGCAATTTGTATACTGTATTTCCTTCTAATTAATTCCTATTTTTCTGGGCAGAAGAAGAGCAGAGAGAGCTCCACAGTGCTACAGCCAAGAATCTAATCCTGCCAACACACTGAGGGCCACCCAGCACCCAGGAGCTGACTGCCAGCGATGACATATAACAGTTGCCAGAAAACAAACTTGAAACTGAGACTCTCTGTCTGCGGCCGGTTGTCACACTCACCAATGGTGCAGATTATACTGGTGTTGCGTGCTGTGATTGGCTCCTGGTCGATGTCCAGCAGACAGAGATGCTCCAGGAAGGTGTCAGCCATGCTGGCATCCAGCTGCTGGCGTTGGATGAAAGAGTCCGGCAGTGTCATCGCCTCTGAGTAGCGCCTGATGCGAGCTATAGTGACAGAGAAATATTGTCAGCGGGGTGAAGCCAGTCATTAAAAACTCTCCTGCCAACTCCACCTGCGAATACAAATGAACTAAACACCTCATGAGGAAAAAAGTGTGTCATTTCTGTGTTAATGATGAACCAGAATAACAGCACTTCTAGTAAGTGTTAAAAGTGAAGAGTGGAGATAAAAATAGCAGCTTACCACCACAGAATGTGAATGTATAGTCACAGCACAGGAAGCATACTTAGTATGTGAATACTGACCTGACATTAACCTCAGGGAGGGGTTATCGAGATTTACATACAAGTCGGTAGTATGAAAAGAAAACACTGCAGTTCAGCGGATATTCTTTGACAAGCAACAAAAGGAGGCAAGAAGGCTGATAATAACCCCAAATAGCGGAGATAAAAGGGCTGTCGGGTGACATTTGAAGCACTGGGGACTCCGCACCACACAATCCTTTGATATAAAGAAGACTGTATTTCAGACAACTGAAAGGAAGGAAATGGTTGTTTCACAGGCAGTTTAATAAAAATGATCTCCCTCTCTACTGAAGGTAAACTGAGATGTGTTGCATTCTCAGAAGAGATACTGAAACTGAAAGAAGACTGATTTGACTGCATTTTTATTGTTGTCCAGTAGAGCTGTGACGGTAAGTCAGTTAATTGATTAGTTAATTGAACGAAAATTGGCTGCCAACTGTCATTTATGTCATTTATAATAGTAAATGAGGAGTGAAGACGTCACTTTGGGCTCTGGGAAATTGTGATCAATCACTCAATTATAAAAATATTAATAATAATAAATAATCTTTGGTTGCAGCCCTGTTGTCCAGCCTGTCAGTATAGGAGCTCAATGTTCTTCTCCATCTTGAAAACCACAAGCAAATGACAAATGAAAGGATGAGTGTGTGAAAAGCAACAATTGTAATATGATGCACATTTTTAACTTATGCTTGTTAAACCCTCATTAATTGAGTATTAGCTCAGCAATTTGTAACACAACATGGACATTTGCTTATGAAGCTATGATGGCTAGCGTGTTAGCAAACAGTCGCCTATTACACATCCAGCACACTTGGAGCAACACTAGCATGTGTCTGGAGTCGTGTTTCCGACCACCTGATGAATCTAAGTCCAGTATTCACTCCCCTTCAGCTAACTGCTGTGAGACATATGAGGCTGTTTAGCTGCTAAATGCTCCACTGTGTTTGTAGCTTTAGATTCCAGCGGTGGCTGCATAGGATTATTTCACAATACCAATAACTCGAGAGAATTTCACAGTCCAAATGCCAACATTTATTGAAAGAAAATGATTGTAATTTAAAAAAATTTAAAGTTTAAAAATTAAATTATATTTACATATTTCTATAACCACAATAACAAAAATTAAATTTTGGCTCTTACAATGTTCACCAGCTAGACACTACCTTCCTGCCTCCTCTGTGGTGTTTGTTCGACATTAAAAACAATGAGCTGAAAGATGCTTTACAGCTGCATAAAGCAGAAGGAAACTCTGAGGTGATAATTATCTGAGGCTGTATCACTATGAGGAATCCCTTTCACATTATACAGTCATTTGAGCCATTATTACAATACTATTGATTAGAGCAGCTTTAGAATAAAATAATTAAGTTATCTGATAGTTAAGATTATTGTTTGTGTACTAATAAGTCAACAATCTGACAAAATACAATCAAACAAACACATTTTAGCTCACCTTTCCCCTCTTGAAATCTTAAATTTGTACTCAAACTGGGATGATACTAGTACATATTGCCTGTCAACACCCTATCCCAGAGACTCCAACTGTCACTAGTGCCTGCAAAACCTGAGAGTAAAAGCCAGTGAATGGAGCCCATGTCTCTCATGCAAAGCATTGTAGTCTACCTGGCTGACGGCTTTGAGCCAGTACAATGGCATCCATTTGAAAATATGTCACAGTCAGTCAAGCCTGCAATTTCTGCCACCACAGGGGAGGAGAGAGTAAAGACCAGAGAGGAGGAGGACGAGAGGAGGACCTGACAGACAAGGTCGCTGCTAACGGCACAAGAGGAGTGAGGAGGTAAGGAAGAAGGATGGAGTGAGGAGGGTGAGGAAGATGGGAGGAAGAAAACTGGATTATTTGTTAAGTTTTTCTTGTTAATTTGTTATTTTTGCCTCTCACAGTGCTGTGTATTAATTGTGTGCTATAATTTAAAACCTGCTGTGGTGAACAGACATGCAGAGAGTCAGCAGAGGAAACTCCCTGATCAAAATTGACTTGAGGTTTTGCCAGAAACTGTGAACATGCACCCCGATCCTCTATCCTGTGGATTTGGTAGCTGTCAGTGTTTTCTCTCTCTTTCTCTTCATGTCTTTTTATCCCTCTCTCCCTCTTTCTCCACCTCCCTGTGACCCAGTTCTGCCGCGCTGCTGCACACATCATTACGTGTCCCACTGAGATCCTCCTCTGACACTTGGAACACATGGAAACACACACACACACACACACACACACACACACACACACACACACACACACACACACACACACACACACACACACACACACACAGGTACCTGTTACTGGAAGGCTGACTATAAATAAAGCAGGCATTAGGCCAAAGAGAGTTGCAAAATATCAGTCAGTGCACAGCTTTAAGTAAGAAAGATGAACCAGGTGATGGGTGAGGCCAAATTGTACCAGGAATTACCTGTTTGCAGAGGGTCACATTCCTGCACATAGCAGGTCAGTGTGTGTGCCTGCAATCAGATGTTTGTCCAACTATGACTCTGCACTTAAAGTTCAAAAGCATCTGAAAAACGATGCAGTGGTGTATTTTCTGAGCAAAAAGGTAAAAATGGGCAACCGAGTAATATAAACACAGATATTGTTAAAAGATTATATCTAATACATACAACTAAATCACTGCATACTAATCTGTTTTGTCCTTGCAATTTAACAATTAATCAAGGTAAATCAACCACTAAACAGTCATCTCTGGATTTTTAACCATGCTGACACACCCACAACACAAAAGAAAATCAGCGGTCCACTTACCCATTTTGACAAAACCATCAATTTCTTTAATAAGATCCAAATTTACTGCACTGTGCCTCCTCTGTTATTTATTTATTTTAGTCGACTGGAGTCATTAATTTTTTTTTTATTTCCTCCTCTGTCTGTCCTCTTCTTGTCTGTGCTGAGGTTGGGCACTTGTCATTCTCTAGTTCTAGTGAACAGCCTAGTTCAGTCTCTTTCCTTCATTTTTACCCTCTGACCCCTCTGCTGCCCCCTCGTCTCTCCTCCCACTCACACCATTTGGAGCGAGGCCACTGGTTGCAACAGAGGGATGATTTTGGATGAATTAGCGTAGGTGGCTCAGCCTGACTGGGCCATGAGGATGCTAAAAATGGAAAAAAAACTTGATGTCAATAGCCCAGTGATGACACTAAACTATCAGGGTGCACTACAGTACAAATTGATACTTGTCTATGCTGCATCGATGCACATTATGTAACTCCTAACCCTGAGTTTGACACACCATTTACCCCAAACCAGACACAGAAAATCTCTGCAGTTCTTTCCACATGATTCTAAACTAAATTAGTCGATCGACAGAGAAACAATCAACCATTTTCAGGAGTTTTACCAAAAATATATTTTTCGTAACCCTATTGTTCTGTTCTTATTTGTCATGTTCAATCCAAATCACTTAAAAGCCTTATGAAGAACAATGTTTAGGTTGCCAGATTCTAAAGTTTTAGAGTTTCTTCCTTTCTAAGACACCAAAAGTAAAAGCAAGTAAATCACCAATAAAGATAATGTCAGAAATAGGAGTAAAAAAAGTTATTAATAGATTAATTTTGGTCCAGATGGCCTTCACAAGGTCAAAGGTCAAACAGTCCATTGGAGGAATTCACATGATGAAATAAAAAGACAAAAGAAAGTGTCATAATTTAACACAATAAACATAAATTGCAATCTGGCAACACAAAAGTAGTTTTTATTATCTGATCTATAAAGTATAGTAAATTATTGATCAACTACTAATCATAAGCCATTGGTTAGAGCTACAACAAAGGATGACTTATTAGAAAGTGGAACCTCTCCCGGATTTACTAAATTATATACTAAAGAAGTTTAATTAGTCTACTGCAGATTCAGATTGAAGATCTTGATGACAGAGAGTTTCTGAACCTTTGAAAAAGTCTCTATCAGTACATCATTTTTGCTTTCACCCACTGCAGCACTTTATTCTAAAACACACAAACCAGGTCATGTCTCAGTGATAGCTGGTTGACGTTATATAATTGTGAGACTTTGACAGAACAGGTGACACATAGAGATGATGTGTCTTCCACTCAGTGACACAGTTTACTTAAAGTGGGTCTCTAAGCACGGTGCATGGAGTTGCATTGTGCAGAGTTGTATCTATGCACAGTCACGAATGGACCCAGGCTGACAGAGGGTGTAAATCGTTAGCCAAAGGGCAAACAGACCTTTGTTCCCGAGCTGACTAGAGAAGATTTAGCCTGCAGCACTCTGATCTGTGTAGCACACACCTAGTATGATATAATAGCACTGCATATAATTACCAGACTGGGGCAAAGGTCGGTTTTACGCATCAAGATCAAAGTGCAATAATATTAGACGCAACTTAAATTAATAACTCTTGAATAGAATAAAGGGCAATGAAGCAGTTTTAAAACTTTCACATTTTAGCCTCTAAAATCCAGAACTTCATTTTAACCTGAGAGTAAGTTGCCTGTTTCAGGAGAAAATTAAGTATTTGTATGGAGCTCGTCGCTAAACAATTGAGAAAAAGAACAAGTAGAGTGATCAATATCTGGCGGAGCGACAGAAACAAACAGTAGGGAAGATTTTCAGCTGAAAAACAAACAATCTAACAAAATAAAACAACAATGTTACATGAAGAGCAGGGTGTAGAGAGAAAGAGGTGTGCGACGCAGAGAGTCCTTGCACACAGTCACAGAATGTAAGTGAGGTTATAAAGTTTAGATGTTTGGAAAAGAAAGTCACCAACCTGTTGGATGTATGAAGCAGGCCCAGACTGAATGGTGAGGAGGGACAACAAGTAACGACATATGTAAATGAATGGGTTGGTGTACGTTTTAGCGCCATCTGGCGGACAGTAGTGTTAATGTTGCTTTTGCACATTTTTGCCACAAATGAAGACAACAGGAGGAGGAAAATTGTACTTTATTCATCAGAATTATGAGTTCTTAGGCTCTATGAAGGTGCTGAGTATAAATTTCAGTGAGTATCATGATAAATCTGGTGGTTATGTTTGGAAGATGAACACTGAATTGTGTGATTAAACATGTTAAATGTTGATTGCACGACTCTCTTCTCTGTGTGTCTGTCAGAGCTTGCTGAAAGTGATCCTTGGTGGAGTCTCGGGCTGCAGGATGAGGGTGCATGTGGTTTTGATGTCCTCAGAGGACGACACGCTGAGATGGAAGCTCAGCAGGATCTAGACCGAGAGGGAGGAGAGAGAAGGGAGGATGAAGAAGAGGCGGGGGAGGGAGGAGGTGATGGTGGCGTGAAGACAGAGTGGAGTAGACAGTCAGAAGGATAACAGTAATGTAGTACTCAGCAGTAGTGGTGGGAAGTGAGTACATTTACTCAAGTACAATCTGTGGTACTTCTAGGATACTTTTACCCACTGTAATTCACACTGAAATATTGTACTACTCTACATTTATTTGAGAGCTTTAGATTCTAGTTACTTTATAGATTCAAAATATACATTAAAAAACATGTGCTTATAAAATAAAACGCATTGGTAAAGATTAAAGCAATTGTTTCCAATGTTTTTGCCATGTGACCTCTTATAATAAAGCAGGGCCTAGTTGTAGCTATTTCCTCTCTAAACTTCTCACATTGTTTTATTTAAATAACTGTTTAAGGCTCAAAGTGGTAAAATTATCCAATATTCCACAAAAAAAATAAAAAATCTCCTCTTGCATCTCATCTTTTCTTTCTGACCTCCATCCTCATCTCCCTTCTCTTGTCTGCTGTCACTCACATGCATGAGCAAGAGCTGCATCTCGTTCTCAGCAATCCTCCTCCCGACACATTGCCTCGCCCCGAACCCGAACGCCAGGGAGCGAAACCCTGTCCCCTCTCCTCTTTGGCCTTCCTCTTTGCTGGTTCCCCACCTGCCAGGGTGAAAGCGCAGTGGATCCTCAAACACCTCTGCACTCCTTCCCAGAGGGTAAAGACAGGCCTGGACCATCGTCTGAGGGGGAGAGTTGATGTCCGTCAAACGCAGTGAAGTCAGCTGTAGCACTGAATGTGTTTGTGTGCAGCTATACTCACCCCAGCAGGTATGTGGTAATTCTGAAGAACAATGTCTTTGATGGGATATCGCTGCACTGTGGTTCCCACCGGATATAACCTGATACAGCCCAAAACAACACCAGAAACACACACTTAAACAGATTCATGTTTTCTAGATATTGCCTTTGACTTATGACTCACTCACAACACAAACTACAAATTACTGGTAATCAGTTCTTATTTTAGGCATTTGAGGGATGCATCTGTTGATCAAAAACTTTGTAATGGAAACAGACTCTTAGACAGCTGTTCCCAAGCTCACGGCATGTTGTTTTTTTTCATGGTACTCTATTGATCTGAAGAGGAAATTTGTCTTTATCCCCTTATAGCTATCACCTCAGCTGAAGCCTGTTTTTTTATGGCACAGGGGATGTTTTTGCTTCAGGTTAAAGGAAAGCTGCATGAAGTGAAGCTTGCAGATCCCTGTGATTCACCTGTCGGCAGGTTGTTGATTGATTGTAAAGTTATTTAGGAATTTGCACCACTAAAGCACATCAGCTGAATCCTGCATTATTGTGTTAACTCTTGGCTTGTTGAAGTGGCAAAATGTACTTTTAAGGTTTTTATTATTTTAAGCATGAAAGTTAATTCGAACTGAACGTCCGCTTACTAACTTTTCCAGGGCTTATTGAGATGGCTCTATTGATATGGGAGCCCCGTAGTTTGTTAAAAAGCACTTTAAAAACTGCTTTAACCTAACAACAACTGGGCTCATGTGTCAACAGATCCATCTTTAGGACAAATGAACAAACTCCATCATGTTGTGATATGGTAGAAAGCTCTGGAAAAGTTAATAAGTGGTAAAGTATGAACTTGCATTCTTAAAATTCGAACCAACAGAGATAAGAGATCTAAAAACTTGAGACTGTTTTGTGTCATTACTTTAATTTATATTGTGCTTATATGGTGCATATTTATATCAATCAAGGATTGGTTATTATATACCTGAGAATCTCCTTGACTGTGCCTTTCAGTAGTGGCGCCCCCTGCAGGGCTTTCTGAGGGTCACCACCAGCCTGAGCCCATGACGCCCTCACCTGCTGCCTCACCATCTCCTGCACCTCCGGGTTACGGCCCAGCTCAAACAGAGCAAACTGCAGGGGCACTGCTGTCTGCAGAGAGGATGGGATGAGAGGTGACATGGAATCAGTTGGGGTGAGGCATATAAACACAAGCCAAATAAGATAAACACAGAAACACAGAAACACACACACACACACACACACACCGTGTCAACCCCTCCGGCCATCAGCTCTGTGATGTTGGCTTTGATGAGGTCCAAAGATAGCTGCCCTTTCCCCATGAGTTGGCCCAGGACCCCGGTGTACTGGGCTCCTGGTGCTCCAGCCTTAGACCCTAGACCCTTGGAGGATGACAGTCGCTGGTACCCCCTCTGGATCCTCGCCTCCGCTAGAAGAATACCAGGACAGGATGATAGGTAAGATGAAAGTAGTGAAGGGGAATTACTGAAATAGATTGAAAAGGGTTACATAAACTAGATATCTAGGTGATATGATCCATTATTCCCTTAGACTTAAGAGTCCAGTGATGGCCTTTAGCTCCTATCCTACCATGGCTGAAGATGTGATCCCATGCACTGGCGTGCTTGGTCCACAGAGGGGCACGAACACGGAGCAACAGGCGAGGGGGCAGGTAGAGGAGAGGAGGGGTGGTTGCCAGCATTTCCTCCACTGCCCAAATAAACTTCTGGGACTCCATGGAGGGAGATGAGGAGAAGAGGCCAATACGCTCCCCGTAGATCACATGGCAACTGGCTACAGGGGGGAGGAGGGTAAGAGATAACTGATGTTAGCAAGCAAACATTCAGAAAATGTAAAAAAGGCTAAAACAAGAAAATATGTTAAAATAGTAAAGGCTTCACTGAGAGTTTTTAAAAGCAGCAACAAAGAACTTTTATTTTTTCTTAATTCTTGTGGCCCCTGTGGACGAAAGTGGTAGTGTTTCCACCACCTTGTGTCATGAATCTTGATTTAAAGCGGAATCCAGCTTGGTGACTCTCATTTGCTTATGTGGGTCATATAGAGGCATTAGATTGAAATTTAGACTCATAACCAGTTGAAAAACTCCTTGTAGTAGGTTTAAGTAGATTATAAAACCCCCTGACTCATATTCTTATGTTTTAAATGTAAACTTTGAAGGATTACCAGCCCAAAAAATACATACATTTTTACATAGTTACCATTAAAAGACATTTCTCTCCGTGACAGCAAGAAAATATGCTGTATTTTTCCAGTCCAGTTCCACTCAGAGAGACAATTTTGTTTCCTGAGCGCATACATTGTCTCGGAGGAACTGTCTCTCCTCCACCAGACATCCATCACCTATCAGACCTGCTTGTTTTATATTAACCACACATCACTGACTGGAATAGAGTTTCTTGGGGGTCTATTCCTAGCCTGGCTTAGCACCTGGCTTCAAGAGCTGTGGTCCATTAAGAGCAAACCAGCATGACTCAAAGTCATCAACTCTCCCCCCTACACACACTCTTTCTCTCTTTCTCTCTCACATACACACACACACACAGATGCATGCATGTGAACAGCACACTGAGTCACACACGCATTCACACTTGTGAATGTGGCATGTTGCAGATAGGCACATGAAAGGAGCAGACCTGGTGAAAGAATGCTGCAGCTTTTATCGTCTTTGTTGGTGTTTCTATTTTTAAAGGTGCATGTTCTCCTTGACCTCCTACATCTGTAATATGTTAACGACAGATATGCCCTCGGGTTAAAATGAGGTTTGATTCTCACACGAGGTGAGAATAATTTAAACTGAGAACAGAAACAGTGGAGGCAGTGAGGTATTAGTAGGGTGGAAGGGGTTGTTTTTTTGAAGATTTGAAGAAGGTGATGCTCCTGCAGATTGTATAATTCCTCTGACGTCAGACACTGTCACAGCCTACGTCAGCATTTGTGACTCAACAAAAAAAGCTGATTGTTAGGGTGAATGAAATGAAGTAGGAGACATTAATCCATACCCTGCCCTCCCCAGACCTCAAGGTCGATCATTGCTGGGTGAAAAGGAGACTGTTGGGTGGTGGGATATCCCCATCAGACCCTCATTTTCTTGCACCTCTCTACACTTTTCCAGACATAATTTTGTGGCCTCATTGTAAATAAAACAGGAATTAATGGGTACTTAAACTGTGCAATCACACATAGGAATAGACCACATGTCACAGATCACTGGGGATGATGACCTCCGACCTTCCAGTGCGAAGCGGAAGAGGTCAGGACTGGGATCCAGGGTGAGACTGCGTTTCCGCTCCTCGCCTCTTCCCTCCCTGTCCACTCTCACCCGCAGCATTCGACAGAAATCCCTCGCCACCTCATCAAGCAGGGGTAGAAAGCACTTTACTGCCGAAGTCATCATCACCTCCTTGTTGAGCAGTAGACGGTCAGCTCGCCACTCCTCACCGTTCCTGTGGAGAGAAGATTTGGACTGAGGCATTAAAGTCGTCCCGTTTCGCCTCTCCTCTGTCATTGTGAAACTGGGTCTGAAGCAGATGTGCTGTTGTTTTGCTTAAATATTTGTAAAGTAGACGTGCTGTGTCAAAGTCTGTTCCTCTATCAATTTCTGTGTAAAAAGTCTCCTCTGTGATGCTTAACCTCTACCCAACTTTACCATTATCCATCCAGTCATTTCTGTGATAACCTAAGACCATGGCATTATGAGATGTCAAAGACATGCAGGCTTACAGAGACACAGAAGCACACAAACAATGTGGTTTGTAGTCATTTTGCATCTCTGTGTGGTTGTTTTATGACTCATGGTGGTCGTTTTGTGCCTCTTTATAGTCTTGTCACGGAGTCTTAACATATGTGTGTCTCTGTAGTCATTTTGTAGTTGTTTTGTTTCCATTTGTGGTCATTCTGTTTCTCTTTGTGGTCTTTTTTGAGTTGTTTTGCGTGTCCTTGCAATCTTGTATTCATGGGGATTGAAAGGTGTGTCTCTTTGTGGCCTTTTTGTAGTTGGTTTGTGTACCCTCCAGACATTTTCTATCTGGAGGAAGGAAATTATTGATTTTAAAATGCTTTCAGAAAGGGGCACTCTTACACATAAAGGCCAGTTCACTCATCATAATGGGAACTTGCCTGTGAAAACAGTTTTATATCCTGTGTTTCTGGAGATCTTTCTAAAGTCTGACAACCAGTGATATAGTGCAGGTTATACACAGGTATACAGAGTATAAGTTGGTATTGGGTATTCCTACTTCTTCTCTGATCTGATCATTGTGTTCTGCAAGCTGAATTTTATCCATGACCTGGTTGTCCAATTTTCCCAATTTCCAATTGGAGTAAGGAATAAGGAATACCTCATTTATCCTTTGCTGGATGGGCCACTTTAAAATAGAATTTGGGCCATAAATTAAGGAGTATACCCAATTCTCCAGGCACCACTACACCACTGCTGACAACATAGCCCTGATGATCTCTGCAGGATTATCTCATCTTTAGCTTGAACACTGAAAATTTAGAAACAGAAAGCCTGTGTTCCAAGCAGGGAGTGTGGTGTTTTAAAGCTGTAGGCAGGTAAAAGAAACAATACCATTATTTGAATTATGGGAAGCTTAAAATCCAGTGGTTTTACATTTTGACCTATATTAGAGACTGAAAGTCAGGATATCTCTGCTTCTGCTGCTTTTGAGTGTCATATGACTTTCCCAAGAAAGAAGAAAGCAACACAAGCTGCACCAATTTTTACTGGAATTGGCTGATTTTTATACAAACAAAAACCATCAGAATAGTTTGAAAGATGCTACAATCACATTAATATTCAACATATAAGAATTTTAAAAAGCTACAGTAACAAGGTTGTAGCTGAATATGTTCCACAGCAGATTGAATGACCCCAAAAAAATGAGCAAGATGATGATGGCAAGTGATTACATGCACTTAAACACACACACAGAAACGTGATTCCACCACTCAGGGGAAGATTCATAATCATTCACTGGAGTCCTAATCTATAGTAATACTAGCTGCCTAACCCTGAACATAGACCTAACTTTAAACCAAGTCATAACTCTAAAACTGTATGACATACATAGTGGGGACTTCACTACAACGTGAGGTGTGGTACTGACTTGAGGAAGACTCCTTTGCTGTGCTGACGTATCTCTCTGTGTGTTGCCCAGGGCTGCAGGGTCATCCGTCGGGGGTGCAGGCCCTCTGCGCGAAAAAGCTCACCGATGTCAGACGGCAACATGATGTTTACACTGCTTTGGGTGCCCACATGCTCCCTTCACACACACACACACACACACACACACACACACACACACACACACACACACACACACACACACACACACACACATAAAGGCTATGGTGTAAACTCTATGCCCTACTGCTACAAAAACACACTTTGATGATCAATACTGCAGTTCATTATTCTAACAGCAATGCCACACTTATCCCATCATCCCACTGTCTATCCTGCTACCTGTAGATGGGGCCGAGGGCGTTGAAGGTCCTCTCCATGTGCTTGTGGAGGTGCCGGAAACGATCTTCTCTGAAGAATTTCACCAAGTTGACCCAGCCGTTCCTACCTGTGTGAGGGATCTCCTCAAAGCTCCGCACCCGTCCATCCACACCCCTCTTTCTAACTCCCGTACTCTCACCTCTTTTCCTCCCCTCTAACTTTCCATCTACCACCGTCCCTGCTGCAGTCAGACAAAGAGCTCGTTGTGGTGCAGCACCACAAAGCAGATTTCTGGACCCTCGGGTGCCCTGTGCTCTGATGCACACAGTCACTCGGATGTACATGCTCCTCATGGTCCAAACCAGATGTGTTTGTCGATCTCATCCAGAGTTGTTGCAACCCTCGCTGTCGTGAATAGACTGATTATTTCCCTCCTTCATCCCCAACCCTATATCCTTGAGTGTGCTCTATTGCTCTGATGAACTGATAGCAGATGATGATTTATGGATGTGAAGAACAGAGTTCAAGAGTATCACAACAGAGCCCAAATGTCAGGCTGATCTAAAACACAAACACACACACACACACACACACACACACCCCACACACACACACACACACACACACACACACACACACACACAGGCCGAAAAAAGAGTGAGCCCAGCTGGTCAAACATGTCTTTATTTAAGAAGTTCTTTTCCACAGTTCATAAACTGTGTATTTGTTAGTTTGTAGGTTTTCTGCTTCCTGTTGTATCAAAATATTTAATTAGCAGCTTGAGACTTTTTACACACAGTATCCGCTCAATGAAAACAAGAGAATAAACGAATAACTTAAAACTATCAGGTTAATAAATGTTACAATTACAATTTGGCTCAAATGTGATACAGATTATTCACAAAGAAACAGAAAAACAGTTAATAATTAATATAAAATAAGTGTATTAAATGTACTTTCATTACTTGTGTGAATTTGTGATAAAAATGTTACCCTGAGGTTCCTTACTTGTGTATAGATCACACAGTTGGATCTATATCAGACAACCCTGTAAGAAGAAACTAGCTACAGTAGCTTATAGATAATATAATAGTATAAAATAATAACAATTAGAGTATAACGAAATGAGGATCTAAATGTAAATGATAATCTAATAATTATATTGACCCCTAATGTAACATTAGGGTTAAGAAAAATGTGTTATTCCTTTATTAATTAATATCATTATTGTATTATCAGTTAAACCCTGACATCACTTGTGAGTTAACTTTAACTGACTGGTGTATTAATAAGGTTATTATCGGGGAATTCATTACATTTACAGGTTTGATCAACCTACTTACATTTAGTGCATTTTATAGAAGATGTTAAACCATCTGGCTGTATTATTCTTGCTACAAAACAGACAAAAAATAAGTACAAAAAGAAAGTCTGAATGACACGATGTCATTGTGTGTAACAGGCAGTGCTGGAAGTACATTTAAAATTCATTTTTCAAGTAAATTCAAGGTACTTGTACTTCCAATTTATGCAACTTTATGCTTCTACTCCCCTACATTTCAGAGGCTTTAGTTACAAGTTGTAAATTCATACCCTTCATTTCCAGTGAAAACCACATATCTTTGAAATTTATAAACTGAAGGATTTAAAGGATCCTTAATGGGGTGACAAAATTCTCCTACTTCTTAAGATAAATAAACTAGCCTATTTAAAAACCCTCAGATTAGCTAGAATATAATGTATGTATCATCAAAGCTGTGAGCCGAGCTGTGTTTCAGAGCTCATGAACAGGTTATTTTTTTAGGTTCTCACGAGACAGCGATGCTACAAACACATGCTGATATTATAAAATATGTTGCATTGTGGGGATTAATAATGTATAAAGTAGTAAAAACTTGCTCAACTTTAAACATCTAGAGCTGTAAAAAGCAACATACACATTACTATTAATCATATAAAATAATAAACACTCTCTGGGACCATTTCTCTACTTTTACTTTTGATGCTGTAACCATGGTAACAGGACTGAGTTTGTATGTTCATGTAAGATGATGCAGTTTGTTTGTCTGTGAGCAGCAATCATGTATGATGGCATTCTCCCTGCATTTCTTTAACCAACTAACACAACCAGAAGGCAGTGTGCCGATCGGCCCTGTAATCATGTATTGATCACATGACTTTACAAGAGTCCCCCCTTGCTGGTGTATAAGTGGACGTCTTGCTGTGTTTCCTCCCTGTGAGCGCCGCTGGGCCGAAGCTGAGGCCTTGGAAGGCACTCAGCAGGTTGAAGCCGTTGTCCTTGGTTTTGGTTTCAGGATGAATGATCCTCGACAGCTCATGGGGGAGCGACACTTTCCCTATAACAGACCTCAGGTGGTTTGTGTCCTTAGAGCTCTAATCGCGAAGGAAAGCCAGAAGAAGAAGAGGGTTGAAAGGCTGAAAGTGTGTCAAAATAATAACAACTAGACCTATTTGTCTATATTATATTATATGCCCATGCAACACCAACATCGAGTATATTTACAACAAATGAAAATATACACCTGTAAAGTATGATTTTGTCTTTGTTGGCATAGAGTTTAGAATTTTTCAATCTGAAGCTGAAACTGCATCAAAATACACGTGGTGATAGAATATCATGCTGATTTTTGTATTTTTGTAATAAATAACAGTTGAATGTTACACAGTTTTAGGTTAATCAGGTATATAAACACTAAGTTTAATGAATTAAGTTGCTGTAGCATTTTATACTCTGTGGTGAAAATGGCATTATACTTTATAGGACAGTTATAAGTGGCTTACATGTGTTTGAAATAATACAATTGTTTACTTTAAAACAGGAAATTAATTTTAAAAAACAGATGTGTAACTTTCAAAGTAATTCAGTAATTGTTATGAAACACATTGAAGTGAAGCTTGGATGTTCCACCGACCTCAGACAGCTGATATTTTCTCCTGAAGTGAGCTCTCATAGTTGCTCTCTCCGCGTTCTTCTGAGCGTTCATCGCTTCCCGCAGCTTCCTGTAAACACAGCAGACGAAACACAAATACACCTGACATATTACTGACAGAATCTAATGAAAGCAATATCTCTGCCACAGCACAGGTGACTTGAATTAAAGTAATTCATTTTAGCTGCCTCCTGTAATGAATGCAAAGGGAAACTGGTACAGACACAAAACAATGTGAATTGAAAGCACACGTGTTGTTTAATGAAGGGGTTTTCACCAAATTCAGATTTTTAAAACAACTTGTTCCATCAGTATGTTTTCATTGATGCAGCATATCTAAGTACATTTACTCAAATACTGTACTTAAGCACAGTTTTGAGATACTTTTTCCATTTTATTTCACTTTACACTTCTACACTGCTACATTTTAGATGAAAACATTGTACTTTATATTAATATACATTTACATATATGGCAGTTTCTTTACAGATTAAGATTTTCTGTAGAGAACATATAATTACATATTTATAAAATACAATGCATTGTTATTTATGAGACTACCTAACAGTAAATAAATAAATAAAGTTTGTTCCTTTGACCAACTACAGAAGTAAAACGCTGCTCACACATTCCTGCATCAGTAACACTAATATCTACAGGGACCATTTTTCTGCATTCGGTATTTTTACTTTCAATACTTTAAGTAAACTTTTCTGATAATACTTATGTACTTTTACTCAAAGAGCATTTTTAATACAAGACTTTAACTCGTATGAAGTGTTTTACAGTGCGGTTTCTACATTATGTGTCCACTTGCCTCTCCTTCTCCAGGTCTGCCTGGTATGAGCAGATGACCGACGGGTCTTTGGGGTGGGCAGTTCGGAGATTAGGGGTCCTCCCCTGCCTGTTGCATCCTCCTCTTCCTCTTCCTCCCCCACCTCTGCCTCTCTTGTTCCTGGGTTTGGCACACAACTGCCTCTCCTTCACCCCTGACACACAGCTGGTCAACTTCCTGATGGGCCTCCTCAGTGACTTCTTCACCCTCACCACAGACTCCATGATGGGACGGGGGGGGGGGGGGGGATTGACCAAACTGCTACTTCTTTGACAGATGGCGGGTGAACATAAAATGGTTTCCCCCTTCGCTCATGTTGGGTTGCTCTGACAGGACAAAGTTAGGACACACACAGTGTCACGTCCAGTGGCGGCAATAACTCAGGTTGAGACATGCCAAGGACAAGGACAGCATTCAGACAAGGCTCAGACACACAGACTTAGTAAACACACTCTCACACACACACGCCTGCTTATAAAAGATTACATATGCATATGAAGTGTCTGTCATCTAGAGGAAAGGGAAGCACTTCTTAGTGCTCTTGACCAAGATGGAAACCACACAAGAACAAACATAATGTTATTTTTCACTCATTATTTATCCACACACTAATATTAGCATGTTTGTTCAGTCCACAGTTTTCTTACCGATGCAAGCAACCACAGTTGGCCAAAGGCTCTCAGCATAAAACCCAGATAAAGCTCCAGCCAGATGGCATCCACCGCCAACAGGCAATCCTCCAAAGCTTTCAGAACAAATCAGAGAAAACGGGAAGAAATACAACAGAAGACTCTGAAGATGTTGTCCCAGTGCTCCTTGGCCCTCACAGCAGAAAAGTACTGTTTTGTGGTCCAAGTTTCAGCCTCTGCTTCTTCTGCTTTCCTCCTCCAGACCCGATTCGCTCTTCAACACTCTCCTATACAGATTACCACTTAAAGGACTTAATGAGGGGAATCTCGTTAGCTGTGGCAGCGAATGCACCCGATGACTCACGTGTTGGTGACTAAGATTTACAGACTTTAGCTGATGTCATGTTGAGTGACACATGGATGTGTTCACAGACCTGATGTCATTATATTTCTCATTTGTGCTCTTAAAATGCTGAAAATGATCTCTAAATTAAGTAGGCTGGGGGTAGCTGGTAGGGCCATTCAACTTCCACCACCTTTTCACTTCCTTAAGAGAACATAATCAGTGTTTGGTTCACTGGATATTCAGCGGTGAAGATCTGGAGAGAGGAAATTAAACAAAGAGACACCCGGATGGAGAGAGTCAGTCCTGAGTCAGCAGCTAATATTGTTTTGTTTAAAGGTCCAGTGTGTAACATTTAGTAGGGTCTATTATCAGAAATGGAATATTATATTCATAGGTATGTTTTCATTAGTGTATAATCACCTGAGTATAGGAATCGTTGTGTTTTCATTAGCTTAGAATGAGACGGTTTGTTCTACATTTGCTGCCTCCCATAGAGTCCACCGTGTTGAACCGCCATGTTTCTACAGTAGCCCAGAATGGACAAACCAAACTCTGACTGCAGATTGGCCCTGTTGCGTTTTTCTGGAGTTTTGCAGCCACTGTAGTTTCTCCTACACACATCACAGTTCTCATTCCCATGTCGTCAAATACAGACGCGAGTGGTATTCAGTTAGTTTTAATCTGAAACTTCACACTGGTCCTTTAAGAGACCATGTAAGGAATCATTGTTTGTCTTTTTATGCCTCTTTCTCCCTCTTCATTAATAATTCTTATCTGTGCATTTTTTTTTAATTAATCATTTGCTTTTATTTTTATTTTTCATTATTTGTTAAAGAAAAACACAAAAGTTTGCAGATGTGTGTCTGTAATCACAGTGACAAACTGAAAAATACAAACAGCATTATACTTTAAGACCTCTTATATAGCAGTATTTGGTTTGCCATTTAAACAATTGTTTACTTAACTTATTGTTATACAGCTTGTTTTACTATATTATCATTCATTATCTGTGTATTCAGCAGCCTCCTCTGGGTGCTAACAGGAGGGCTTATAGTTGTTGACAAATAGATAAATAAATATTTCAGTCTACTTACAGCTTCATTATAGTGTGTTTTAAATATTTGACTAAAGGTTTATATATTGATTAATGCTAAATATGGGGACTTAAAGTAAACTGTCACCGATGTGTATTCTGTGAATTTGCTCCAGCACTTCTTCTGATGTCCTTTTGGCACATTTTCTACTGAATTAAATGTCTTTGAATGACTCTGCAGAGACTTTTGTGCTCTATGACCTGCTCTAATGCCCTATTTGCCATTGACATCACACACACGCCCTCTTTAACACTTTAACCAACCCACTTAAAATCACTCGATCACTTGTTTACCTCTGACCTACCCCACCCCCCACCCCCACCCCCAGCCCCACCCACACACACACACACACACACACACACACACACACACACACACACACACACACACACACACACACACACACACACACACACACACACACACACACACACATACACACACAGACCACTTCGAATTCTGACAGGTGAGGAGGCTTTAATCCTTTAACAAGATCCCAGAGGAGATGAACGCCTCCTCAAGCTCATGTTTAGCAACAGATCTGGGATCAGTTTACTCATCCAAAGCGCAGGCGTTTACAACTGAAGGGTGAGAGGATGAGTTGGTTCTGGTTCAGCAGCTACAGACAGGTAGAGCACGTTATGGACCCTACACCTGAAATATGTTAATATTCTCCAATTTATTACAGCATGCAAAGCTGGATCAAGTAACAAAAAATAATAATCAACGTATTTTTGATAAGCAATCCACTGTTTAGTGTGTGTGTGTGTGTGTGTGTGTGTGTGTGAGAGAGAGAGAGAGAGAGAGAGAGAGAGAGAGAACCAGAGCTTCCATGCAAGCCCACCAAAAAGAGCCACTTAAGGGATTCTTAAGTGGATCAGTGTCCAACACGTGAAACGCAGCCACTGACACTGACACCAACACATTAACACACACACACACACACACACACACACACACACACACACACACACACACACACACACACACACACACACACACACACACACACAGACACGTCCTCATGCATGGAGTCACGAGAGGCGTGTCTTCTGCACAAACAAAAGCTAAGCTAAATATTTAATACAAAGTTATAGATTTAAATATGACCATTAGGGGATTTACTCTTGTGCTATGTGAACATTATTACTATTTAACTTAGTAATACATACTTTACTCAGTTTTCATTATTTGGAATTTAAATATTTATGAATTTTGTCTCCAGAGACAGAAACCAAAAAAACATCCATTCAGACTGACAAGCTGCAATAAATAAAAACAGTATTTTTGTCATTCTATCCAAGACATCACACTCATCACTTTTTGTAATTCCTGGTCACATTGTATCATAACTGGTTGAGACATTTCTTTTCAAATGAATAGGTGCCATCTTGGAGTTCTATTCTTGTAACACAACCATGTATCATCTCATATTTCATTCTAGTCAGCAGATTATAAATATGAGTGAATCTGAAAGAAACCTACTAGAATTATTTTTGTTTTTTTGATTTCAGGTTTATTGCTGAGAACCTATGACGATGATTCATTCAGAAACGATTTGGCACCGACTCAAATTCCATAACCCTCTTGGTCCAAGGCTGGAGGAGAAGCTGGCAGTGTGCGCTGCAGGAGGGTCTCAGCCTGCTGAACCACCTGTTTAAGCTCTATTCAGGGACGGCCTCAGCCTCCTGATTACCCCAAGTTGGTGACTGGTTTCCATCCAGGCGTACTTGCTTGCAGGTGTCGTTGTTGTGATGATTTTAAATAAATTACACCAAAAATTGGGTTTCATTCAGGGTGCTAATGAACACCTAACTCGTAGTACTTCGGTGTAGTTTTAGTAGGTTTTTGGCTGGACTGCAGATTAGCAGTCACTTGTAAAGAGCACTGACTAAGTTTCCTTATTGCTCTTTAACAATTGTCCTGAGGAGCAAATTAACCAGTCAAATACAATTTCAAATATAAATGAAAATACATACTATTTATATAACGTATGGGCATATACTGATGTCTACCTGTTGTGAGTGACAGTGTTACAACAGTTAAATCTTTGTACTGTACTGACAAACAACAAGTAAATGGGATTAAATCTATTCACAAACACACAAAGACATATTGATTTACTTTCCTTCATCGAATCTCCACACACAGTTTTAAAATGTCTCTTTCAATTTTAGCATCTTTCATGCTCATTCACAGATTAAAATTACTTTTAGCATTGCCAAGGAAGAATATCATCCACACACATTTATACATACCCTCACTAATACACACATACAAGTACACACAACCGCCCGCCCACACACACACACACACACACACACACACACACTGCAGAAATAAGGTCTCATTCAGTCAAACACACATACGTTGACAATAAGTCTCTCTCAGCTCTGCCAAGGCTAAAGAGGAAAACTGGCAAGCGCACACACTCGCTCAGCCTTGTGACCATGCTCTCTGCACTCGATCAAGATGCCAGAGGATGACTGCGAGTAAACTGGCAGTTACAAGAGGAGTGTGTGTGTGTGTGTGTGTGTGTGTGTGTGTGTGTGTGTGTATGTGTGTGTGTGTTGACGTACACGGATGGGCCGTATTCTGATGAGCTGAGAGGCCTCAATGAAAACCCGAGAAAAGAACAACTGAATTTATTCAACAACTAAAGAAGTCTTTCCATACAAAAATTATTACAAAAGTGACTGAGAGAATAAAACTAAAAATATATTTTTTAAATGATCATATAACTTAAGCTTTTGTATCTATCCTCTAAATTTTAGAGATACAGTTGGGTTTTTTTTACAGCTTTTTGAAGTTGATCTTGCATGTAAGAATCAATGTTTAAATGAATATGCTCAGGGGTTTGGCATGTTTGTGTCCATTTAATACTGATGCCTCTATATGACCTACATAAACAAACAGGACCATCAGCAAGAGGATTGGCTATTTCTATATGGTTACTCTTAATGCCTGCCACCGGCTCAAATTTGGTCTGATTCCCCTTAAAATCAATGAAAGGAGGCAGTAGAAACACTACCACGTTTGTCCACAGGGGTCGCCAGAATCAACACAAAATTCCTTGTGGGGGCTTGGTTGTGGTTAAGTCTCATCACTGTTATCAGCATTGTTTTCAACCAGGCCGGGCAGTTGCTTTTAGAACAAATAATCTCTACAAACCTACTGTGTGCAACAAACGACAGACGGTGACAATAACGAAGAATTTAGCATCTAAAGAGCCAAATATTTCCCTTGGTGGAGACAAAACCAGCGCTAAAAGACAGTGAATGTTGAACTTAAATTCACCAGGTGGCCAAATGAATGCTAATAATGCTCTGTATCAACTGAGTGTGTAAATTTTCAATTTAAATTCAAGACATAATGTGTCCTGAGAGTCTGTTATGATTTGGCGCTATACAAATAAAACTGAATTGAATTGAATATCAGAATTGTGTTCACAGGTTGTTTCCAAAATGGCCAAATACCGTAAAACTTCCAATAAGAGCAGGGTCCCTAATAGACGCAGGTCTCTTTTAAAAGCCTGGTGTGGCTACACGTTTTGACAAATAAACGCAGGTCTCCAATAGAGGCCTGGTCTGGATTTTATAGAAATTATCTTGATGTATAAAACTTGCTCTTAAAACCCACCGGGTCGCCTGCTTGAGTGAGTTTTAAGTCGTTTCAATCTCCTACAGAAAACTTAAAACTTTAAACTTCTGTCAATATGTACATGCTGCACATCATTAGATCAGTTATAGATTCTCCACACATTCAATCGTTCACTATATTTTACGAAAACTGTCAACACCAAAGTAAAATGTTAATTCATTCTGACTTACCGGTAACATGGTAAACAAGAGAAACGGAAAAAACCTCTGAAGTGATCATAATAATCATGTTAGTTGTCAAATTTGCTGAACAAAACTCATGAGAAGCAGCAGTTACAGTTTAGTTTAGTTTTGTGCTAAAGGAATTAAAGGCCTGTCCCAAATAGAGGCCTGTCCCCAATAAAGGCAGGGGGAGTTCAGTGATTTAAGCAAATAAACACCCGGGCTATTATTAGAAATTTTACGGTAATCACATAACTGCTTATGAAATTACATCCTGTGAAAATAATTGCCTTGACCTGCCTTACTCTTATAATTTTGAGTTTTTTCTTTCCCACTTACAACTCAATCAGCTGACCTCAGTTACCTCTGTAACCCAATCATCTTGTTGGTGTCAAACAAATCCTCCTTTCTCTGCTGCTGTCAGCTGTCAGTGTCTGACTGACATGACACACCTCAACCCGACAGTCACCTCCTGTGTCTTCACAGCCACCTGTCCAGTGGGTCCTTCCTCTGAGCTCATTAAGAATCCTGCTCCAGATCACCTGCACTCACATCTCCAGCTATTATTCTTCACTCTTTCACCACCACAAGGGTCTGAACTCCATTGGGGGAATATTCCTGTGTGGCTCATAGTATGATTACCCCCATAAATTTATGACACCACAGTGGGGTCTAATTGCCAAAGACTCCTCACATACAGTATATCTTCCACTTTTCCTACTGTGCTTACTATATCAAATATATGTATTTTTACTCTTTAAAGGTCCCCTGTGTAACATTTAGGAGCACCTTTAAGGCCATCTTTCAATTAGTCTCTCCTGATTGAAATTAGAAGTACAGGATATGAAGCTGAGAAACAAAAACACTGGTATGGTCCCCACTTTATGTGGCTATTCAGGGTCATCTGCTCATATCACAGCTGTTCCTCCAGATGTGACTCCTTCCTGGATGATGGAGGGGCAGGAAGAAGGGATGACACAGAGCAGAGGAAAGAGAGATGCGTATTGAGGGCTCATACTCCAGCATCCTTTCCAAGAGACCAAAAAACTGGTGGTGCTCTGTTCCATGTGATAACAAGTACTTCTGAAAAAAAAACAGATTAAAAGAGAAACATGTTGTTAAAGGGTGTTAATGTACTTGGCTCGTGTTTGCACCTGCCTCAACGCACCCTTAATGGTTTGCATTTGGCTTTCACGTAGCGTCCGGCCTTAGAGCACTCGCTCCAGTCGAGACGCCCACGGTGGAAATACTTCTGCTTTCTGTGGAAAAAAGTTATGTCACCTCAGATAAAGTTTGTTTTCATGCGTTTTTGTACTTAAATTACAGCGTTCAGGAGTGTGTTATACCTGCTCCTTTGGATCATTCTCTGAGGAATTGGTCCCTGAACTCTCTCCATCATAGCAAGATGCTCCTTGTTGTCATGAGTCTATAAGCGGACACAGACGCACAAGTGAAGAAAATGTTAACAAAATCATCCTACTTTCAGCATGTAAGCAGTGTAAACACACAGGTGACCTGGTACAATGTAAAGCCTTCGTAGTATTCAAACAGGATGCAGCCAATACTCCACACATCACAAGGGTGACTCCAACCCAACTCTGTGGGAGAGAGAAGAGGGACAAAACCTTCAAAAACAACTAAACTGGACTGACAGCTCCTGGTTACTCCCTAGTCTAAATCAACATCTCTTACCCAGTATGACCTCTGGAGCTCGGTAGTGACGTGTAGAAATGACGGCAGAGTGGTGTTCGTGGTCAAAGGTGGCACTGCCAAAGTCAACAAGTCGCACTGTGGTGTCATTTACTCTCCTCTCGTTGCACTTCTGAAAGAAGACAGAAGGAAAAACTGAACCTAACCTCATCATTTAAAGATTCAGTGTGCAGGGTGTAGTGACATCTAGAGGTAAGGAAGCAGATTGCAACCAAGTGAACACATCTTGTCTCACCCTCCCATTCTTAGCAAAACTATGGTAGCTGCAAATAAAAACGCAAATGTGCTATTAACATAGTTTGTCTGGGTTACTGTAGAAACATGGTGGACTCCCTCTGTAGATATAAAGGGCTCATTCTAATGTAACAACAATGATTCCTATTGTCAGGTGATTATACACTAATAAAAACAATCCATTCCTGCCAATATGCCTGCTCTAAAATTTACAGTAAGTAAGTAATAAGCTCCAAAGAAAAACTGTGCATGCACAAATGTGTTAAAAGAAAAGGAACATTAGCTGCCAGTTAGTTTTGATTTTACTGTTCAGCCAGGATGCAAGGTGAATTTTGTAGCAAGTCAGTGGAAAGACATTCAGACACAAAAGCAAATTCTGTTTGGGGTTAATAAACACAGACTGCACAAACTATCTAGTGATCAAATGTGCACGAATGACACACATGCTGTGTTTTTTGTACAGATTAAATCAGATTTAACATGGTAATTACTGAAGGTGCTAGTAGGCAGGTTTATTACCTTTGGACAGAGCCAGCTAGCTTTTCCCTCAGCTTCCAGGCTTTATGTTAAGCTAAGCTAACTACAGCTGCCTGGAGCTTCATACTTATGTACGAAAGTTTAACCAATAAATCAGCAAAAAGGAAAAGTTTTCAATTCCGAATAAGTTTGGCTAATTTTGGTTTGTTTAAAGCCTGCATGTTTGTCTCACTGCTCTGTTTTGTGCCCTATTAGACATATTTTTAGTAATAACTTATGAGTACAATGTTATTATTACCGATAGGAATGATGGCCAAGTTTTCTTTTTTAAACGGAATTTTTCTATTATATGGAGAATTTAAAAATGATATTTCTTCAAAAGATGCCACACATTGTGCTGTGAGGTCAGCGAACCTAACCCACAGTCATCCTGGATTAATATGTGCACCTAAAGGGAACACGTGGGTGGTTCACTGAGCAAAATTTGCATCCAAGTGCGCAACACAAAGCAATCTTCCTGGCTGTTCTGCCTGCATTAATCCCTGCTTATTTAACATCCTTAATTTTCTTAAAGGCCCCAGCCCTCATGCCTGCAGTCGTTTCTAACCTTCTCAGAGTTGTATATGAGGGAGTAGTCTGAGTTGACAAAGAGGATGTTCTCAGGCTTCAGGTCGGTGTGAGTCAGCTTGTTGTCATGGAGAACTGCAGTGGAGACAGAGGCAGGGGAGGAGGAGGAGGGAAAGTAGATTAAGATTTATCAGGAGACAGCCAACGCCCTCATCTGGTCGAGTTTTCTGTTGGTTAAACAGTTAGACATCATGAGACATTTATCGGAAACCTTTGTGAAACCAGCTTGTGTGCTGAAATCCTGATTAAATTAAACAGAAGGGAATCATAAATGATCATACTGATCATTTATAACTCATAAATGTGCTCTTTTTCTCAGCACCACCTTGCATCACTATACAGACCAATTCACCAGTAAGTAAGAGCACCTCAGTAGCTGTTATGTACAGCTGTCAAGCTTCTGAAGTTTGAGGACGACACCACCCTCATTGGGCTCATCTCTGGTGGAGATGAGTTTGCCTACAGGTGTGAGATTGACCGTCTAGTGACCTAGACGGAACAATGTGGAGCTCATCTTCGGATATGATTGCAGAATCCAGGAAGAGCCCAGCCGCCTCCATGTGACTCCTCCGTCAACACTTCTTGGACACGATCATCACCCGGGACCTCAAGTGGGAGCTGAACATCTTATCCCCTCCCATAAATATGAGAGTGTATGGGAGTGTCTACATCTGACTCAGTCTTTTGTAATTTTATCTCTGCACATTGCACATCTTTGTACTATGATCTTTCCATTTTAAAACAGTTACATTTGTCATATTTGTTATTGGAAATTTCAATTTTATTGAAATGGGGAAACTGGGATTAGTATTCATAAATCAGTATTTTTCATTATCAATATTTTCTTATGTTCAATATAATATGCATAACTATGTTTTAATTAGTGTATAATCACCTATCATCAGATTTTTTGTGTTTTTGTTGCCTTAAAATGGGCTGTTTTTATCTACAGATGCCTCGAGTTGCCTTCCATTGAGGATGGATCTACAGTAGCCCAGATCGGACAAAACTAAAACTGGCTCTAGAGAGGTCCATACGCATTTTTTGCGAGTTGCACAGCCACCATAGTTTCTCCTTTGCACTTGCGTGGGTGAAGCGAGTGAGTTGCAATCTGCAACTACACTTCTAGATGTCACTAAATCCTACACAATGGTCCTTTAAATTCAATCAATTAATCAAGAAAACAACCAAGAGATTAATTGATAATGCAAATAATCATAAATCACAATTGTCTTTAACCTGGTATGGGATGTGAATATGGAACATGTGCATCATCTTCTGGTAACAGTCACCCTCTAAATATCTACTTGGCCTGTTTGCTGCTGCATCAGTGACAGCTGTGAATAATCGGCTCACTGTCGCCACTGACACTGAACCAGGAGTGCGAGAGAAAAAAGCAAAGATGGTACAGTTAATGTGATGCATGTTGGACTCACAGCTGACAGCGTGGCAGATCTGGTGGGCCATGTGTCGGATCTGGTTAATGGGATAAGGCAGGAAGTTGTTTGCTTTCAAGAAGTCAAAGGTGCTGAGAGACAGCAGCTCAAAAGAGATGCACACGTGGCCATAGTAGTTAAACCAGTCCAGCATCTGCACACAGTGACTGATGGGAGAAGAAACACAGAGATGAAATGTTTCAGACAGAAAAAGAGAAACATCATCACAAGCTCACTCACTGTTTGTTGTCAGGGTCTCTCTCGCTGATCTTCTCCAGCACATTGATTTCCAGTTTGGCTGCTTCTCTGTATTTATCCAAGTTCTTAATGATCTTCAGAGCAATTTGATTTCCTCCTCTGGGTGTCAAAACACTGTGTTATTAAAAGTAATAAACACAACATGTATTTCATATTGGTCCAACTTTCACCATGAAGATAATTACCTGCTGTGGTCCAAACATTGTACCACCTTCCCAAAAGTTCCCTCACCTAAAGTGTCGACTATCTCATCTGAAAGACAAATTGAGGCGAAATTAAAGCTGGAGAGTTTGTTAGGAAGGCTGCCAACACTTCGGAACTAACTGAAACCTACATCTGTCTTCAAGGAGGTCCCCACTTTTGTAGATCAGGTGGCCATTCTCAGTGTCCCTTTCATTGTCGTCGGCAGCCTCATCGCTGCTCCGCTGGAAACAAAGTCAACCACACTTATGACAGGTGGAGCAAAGGAGAAAAGAACTGTCCAGAGATCAGCCTGCCTCTGTTATTCACTTTCCAACTATAAACAGAGTGGCATCTTATTCTGGGTCCTAAAGGTCAAAGGTTATCACGATCTGGATTTACCCCTGGCTAAGACTGATGCATGCAGATACAAACAAATCTGCACTGACAGGTTCTTTAAAACTGCTGTTGAGTCCTAACACTTTATAAGTAGCTGGATAATGTGTATTGGTTGATCCTATCGGAGAGTACTAAGTCAACAGGTGGAGTTCAACTACTTCAGTGCAAGGTGGAAACATAATTATACTGCAGAATCTCTTAATGCAGCCGTGATAAAAACAAATCCCCCAGAATGCAGGCTTCTACACATTTAAGTTGCTCCTGATGACCCAAGCTTGTTCTAAAGGAGGTTAATAAGAAATGTCAAATGACTTCTGGCCTCTTTGGAGGAGCTCTATTTCCATCCACATTCTGAGACTGTTATTAATATGAGAAGCCCAGTGTGTGCTGAGGAGGCACTTACTGCAGGATGAGGGCCACGAAATAGACGAGCAAGTGACAATTATAAACACACACAGTCTGCATGTGATTTCTTGTAAGACAATTGAGGAGCTTAAAGACAAAATTAAGACATAGTGCAGATGATTGCAGGTCCACCACGATGCAGAGGCGACAGAATTATTTGTAAGAAACAGATACAAGAACACAGCAAATGCATGCACAGAGACTGAGATACTCACAGAGAGGCAGAGGCAAATACAGTCCAGAAAACCCTTATATAGAGAGCACAGCTCTGTCTTTCCCATTACGCAGGAGTGCAAAGCTACTCAGGAGACGAGAAGAGCGTGAGTGGAAGAGAATGAAGGATGGAGGGAGGTTGTGGTAAAATGAAGGCAGGTGAAGCAGCAGAAGAAAAACTAGACCACGAGGAGTTGAGGAGAGAAAAAGCACAGAGGACGGGACAATACAATATCAAAGCAATGGCACAGAAAAAATAGAGGGCATGGAGTTGTAACAAAGTAAAAAATAGCCTGCAGTGTTGTCAGCGGAAACCAGAAGTGAAGGAGAGACACGACACAGTCTAGCCACAAAAAAAACGACAGATGAAGAAACACCGTAACAGGAATAAAGAAAAAGTAGAAATCAAACACGGGAAACAAGAAAGCTGAAGCACAGACAAAAACAGAAAGTGACGGACAGAAATGAGACGAAGGAGGAGGAGGAGGACAGATAGAGAGAGTGAGAAAGAGAGAGCAGAGACAGATGCTAATAATAAACTTTGGTCACAACCCCCTGAGAAAGTCTTCAGAGGAGAATCAAGATGTGGTCAGGGGGAGCGAAGGAGGGGAGATCCAGTTTCACTCAACTAACTTACTCTCCTCCTTGCACCTCCTTAACCCCTGCAGTATGTTTTGCCACACCTGTCCGGCTCTGCATGCTACAGATACCTTTCAATAGACAGTGCATGCTTTCTTTACAGAAATAACTGACATGGCTCTCGTAAAGCTTTTATTTTATAGTTCATGTTCGAAGGGACACAGTGAACAGAGATGTACACGTTTTTTAGAATAACATGAAGTAATGTCTTTTAAAAAATAATAATAAAAACTGTTAAAATATTCTTCTGAAATCTCATTGTTAATACAATTGTGTTAGTCGCAGTAGCACCGGTGATGTAAAACCACGCTTTTATAAATGTAATTATATAAAACAGCAGGAAGAATGTTTTAAAAACTCAAATAATCTCAAACAGGTCAACTAGACACACCAGTAACAAACCTGATGAAGTAATCAGTAACAAAAAATTAGACTTTAAAACTATTTTGTATCATATTGTTTGAAATGAACACAGGAAATGTCCGAACCGGACAAAATGTTTCTATCAGGCTGAAAAATGATGTCTGTTTTGGAGGCTCGTGGTGTACGCGTCACACAGTCAGGTGCTCCTCTTCGTAGTCTTGTCCAGGTGATATCAAGATGTCACCGTAAGGCTCGTGCTGCTCCACACGTACCTTCCCGGCCGATAAAATCTCTACAGACGAGACACGCAGGCCAAGTTAAAAATATCCTCTTTGTGCTCAGCTGACCACAGAAAAGATCAAGGTAGGAAAAATCAGGATGATTGCACATATTAACACAACAATATATCACTTTTACAACAGCTTAAATTGGTTAAATTATCTATATTTTAAACCCAATCCTTTCTCTATGAACTATTGTACATGAACCCCCGGTGTGTTATCGGTCCTCATCATACAGATGCCAGCGGTGTCCCTCAGCTCCTAAACTGTAAATCAGATCTCATAACTCACTGACCACATAGTGATTAAAGAGCTTCCTCCGGTGTTGATTCCTGTGGCATTAACACAATTTCAACATGAGTAATGGGATGATTCAATGATAAGTGAAACTGATGCCTTACCCAGAAGCCTCTGAAAAATGTTGCTGACAGTTCTGCGGTCGACCTCTGGCGGCAGAAGAGACTGAAACAGCACAGGTGCTATTTCTTGCTCGTCCAACTCCGGCAGCAACCTACACACACACATACACACACGCACGCACGACGCACGCACGCACGCACGCACGCCGCACGCACGCACGCACGCATGCACATGCACACGCACACGCACACAACATACATACATACATACATACATACATACATACATACATACATACATACATACACACACACACACACACACACACACACACACACACACACACACACACACACACACACACACACACACACACACACACACACACACACACAATCTTATCTCCAAATTTAACTAAATGCAAACACTGGGGAAAACAAACTTCTCAGCTCTGACCTTGAACTGGTTAATAATGGTGTTGCATTCACTGTCATTACCCAGGTGACTCTGCTGCAGCTCTTTCCAGCAACTCGTCCGCTACCTCTGGGATGTCCTGCAGTGTAGAAACAGACCTGGAGACAAGGGACCTGCCAACACACACGTGTGCATATAAGCATGACTGCGCGCACACACACACACACACACACACACACACACACACACACACACACACACACACACACACACACACACACACACACACACACACACACACACACACACACACACACTTGACACATCTTTCTTTGCTACCTACCCTTCTCTTTCAGATGAGGGCATGGGGGAGATCTCTCGAGACACCTCCTGTTGATCAGAGCCCTCCAGTGGCAGCGAAATATGGTCTGGACAAACACACACACATTTGAGGACATTGGTTTATATTCATTCCCTGGAGGCTTGTCCTAACCCTTAACCACAAGTGATACATGCCTAAACCCCAACCTCTGACCTCAGCGTCACCCTAGGGAAGACACAAACCGCTTTAACTAACTAGCTGAATGCAGCTGCAGCACAACAAGTTCAACCCCCAGTTAGACAACAACAGCAGTGTCAGTTTACCTGAGATATCAAACATCTCTGATTCTGCCACATCTCTGGGGACCTGTATTCACACACACAATTAGTTTTTCATCTTGTGACATTTTCTTCCTGCACAAAAACGCTTCACAGAGCGAACAGGAGCGACACAAACGTGCTTCCACACCTCCCTGGGGCTGAGCTCAAGTCTCTCCTCCTCCCTCCTTTCGGCCTCCTCGGCCGCCTCCACCATCTCGCGCTCTAGTTCCTTTTCAGAGTCGGTGGACTCGGGCCCTCTCTCGCCGACCTGCAGGTTCGAGCCTGAGAGAGGCGTGATGGTCGCAGCCTGTCTCCATAGAAACTCAACCTCTTCAGGCAAGACTGCAAGGGGAATAAAAAAATAGCTTTGTGGTTTATTTTTGAAAAGGTTATTTGAGTCACATCCTTGAAAACAGTAGGTGGAAAAAGAAATGGTGATATGTAACAATTTATAGATAGCAATGAAAATATTATCAGAAGATTAACCACCTTTATATTTTAACTATAAATGTTTGTTTGATTGATTGATTGATTGATTGATTGATTGGTTTATTTTTAGTCTTGCTCGCAGCTCTAGAGATGGCAATGTCAATCTGTCTGTTGGTCCCTCCACCACTTCGGTTCAGACTACTACCACTACTGGATGGGTTGCCATTCATGTTCCCCTCAGGATGAACTGTAATAAACGATTCCTTAATCTTTAATCCAGCACCATCATTAGGTCATTAGATCAAATGGAGGTAGAAACCCCCTTAAACATCTGTTTGCATATCAATTCTTGTGCCCGCTCCACCACTCGTTAGACCTGTCAGTGAAAGGAACGTCGAAGAGGAAAGAGTGAACGTGTCGGCATCTTTAACATTTAGCTCAAAGCACTGCTGTGTCTAAGTACAGCCTCATAGAGCTGCTAACACGACGGCAGACCTTTAGACATGTCTGTATGTGTGTGTGTGTGTGTGTGTGTGTGTGTGTGTAGCAGACATAATTTGGTGTGTCAACATATGTCACAAATCCTTTCCATTAGTCAGGTGATGAATAGTCTACTTTATGTAGAGCCACTCAAAAAAACAGACGTACAAGTTTTGTCTTTGAAGTTGTGTTTGTTCTTTACAACAGGCTCAAATGCACCGTGACTCAGATACAATATAAAGCCTCAACACAGCCAGAGTCCTCCCACACAGGTGTTTTCACTTACGTTGCCTGATTAGACCTGATTAGGACTGTGTGGCTCATTAACGATGGCTCAGTTCCATCCAAGTGTCCCACTGAGACATGACAGTGTGACAGTGAACCAGCATGAACAATACAAGGACCCTGAAACTGAAGCAGCTAAATGGAATCCAGCCATCATTAATTTTATTATTTACACCTGTGAGCCTTCAGCTGATGTTTTGGGGGGATTCTGACGGTGCACTGCTGTGTTTTCTTTGCAGGTGTGTTACTGACTGGTGCAGGGATTGTTGAGGAGCTCAGCAGCAGGGAGCGTCCTGTGAGAGGAAGGCGGTGGGTAAAGTGGACGTCTGGTCTCAGTATGAGGGTTGTCGATCTGCTCTTGCAGCACCTCCTGGGAGATCTGCGTCTCCGGGTCGAAGAAGATCAGCTGCCTCTTCCTCCTCCTTGTCCTCACCTCCGGGGAGGGAACATCCTGGACATGGGAGGCGTGTGGGAAGTAAACTTTCCAGAACCTTCCTCCAGCAAATGTAGTCTAGGTAGCACTTTATAACAAGGTATTCTTTCATGTATTTAAGTTGTAATTAATGGTTTTATTCATGGTTAATTAATAATGTGTTATAGATGAGTTACAAACCATATATAAGAACATCTTTTGGGTTGCCAGGCTGTGATAAATCCCTTTTGGTGCAGTTTATCCTCCTTCATTTTTGACATTTACTTTGTCTTTTTACCTCTTTCATCATCAGAAAAACCCCTCCAAATATACCTTTTAACCACTGGACCAAAAACAGTTTAATAACAATATATTAACAATTATAAATACAGGCATTTGTAACAAACCTTTATTAACTAATTATTAACATTTATAACTGCCAGTTTATCAGAAAGTTAAACTCATGGCCCTTTATGAATAAGATTCAAAAGACGTTGTTTTATTAACTATTATTATCAATTATAAATTATTATCATAATTGTGTCTTTGTGGAAGAGCATTAACACCTGCAAACCTGGCAACCCATTATTGTTCTGAATGACTTATAACTGATGAATAAAGCATTCACATTCATTTATTAATCAATAATAAAGTCAGTTAAAACACCTCATTAGTAAAAGAGGTTGTTCAGTCTCTTGAACAGAAACATAAGCCGGCACCTCTAACTCTGGAGTTGGTCTTTCACGTTGCTCTGCAGCAGATGGTGGCGAGGCGAGGACGGGCACAGATACAGGGGTCTGCTGGTCTGTGGGGGGTCTGGGCATCTCCAAAGACAGACCTGTCTCTTCCTGAGGCAACAACACGGCGTCTTCACCGGAGACCGTCGTCGGCTGTAATCTGACGCAGGTAAGTAGAAACACAGTCAGTGTGTACTTGTGTGTGATCTGTGTGCGCTGATGTTTCCATTTGCATCTGGATCATTTACTCAATAGTGGATCCTGTGAGCTCTTTTGTTCTCTCTCTCTCCAGGTCTCCCTCTAGTCCTCCCCTTTCCATCTCCCTCTCTTCCTCCCCTGGTGTCACTTCTTCTCTTGGTATGTCCAAATCTGTTAGAAAAGGATAAAAGAAGAAAAAACACAACTATGAGTCCTTCTTCCTTTTCACCTCAAACCCCCCATAATTACACAGTATAATGTAATAAACAAGGT